TGGAGGGTGGATGGATGGGTGGATAGAAGATGGACAGATGGAGGATGGATGGACAAATGGATGGATGGATGAATGATAGATGGATGGATGGATGGAGGGTGGATGGATGGGTGGATGGAGGATGGACAGATGGAGGATGGATGGATGGAAGATGGATGAATGATAGATGGATGGATGGATGGAGGGTGGATGGATGGGTGGATGGAGGATGGACAGATGGAGGATGGATGGATGGAAGATGGATGAACGATTGATAGATGGAGGATGGGAAAGATCAATGTGTGATGCTGATATTCAGAAAGGAGTGAGTGGGCGAGCGTGTACATCGAAAACCCAAGGCAGAACCCACCCACCTAACCTGTTCTTTCTGATCGCCCTGTCACTGGAAGGTCTCACAGCCTCCTGGGCTCACATCTAGCAGCTGCTGTGTCCTGGCCACACCTGTTCCTCCTCTCCCACCCCCATCCCCAGCTCACAAGTTCTTCCACCTGGACCACCACACTGGGACTTGAACCCTCTGCCTCGAGGCTTGACTTGTCCCCTTCCCCTACACTAGTTGCAGATTTCATGGCACTGATCATATCCTTCTCTTCCATGTCTCCTACAGATGAGAGCCCAGCCCCTCACGAGGTTTTCAAACCCCTCACTGCACTGCCTCAGGCACTCTTCTAGGACTGTCTTCTATTTCCCACCAAGGACAGGGGCCTTGCCAACCCCCTCGACTGCCCCACCTATGTGTCTTAGTTTATGCTCTTTCCCCCGCCTGAAACACATTTCCCCTCACCAAGCTTCAAGGCCTGGTGAAATTGCTGCCTCCTCTTAGAAGTCTTCCAGCCTCACCCCAAACTGGGAATGAAATATTCCTTTTCTGAAACACTGTGGTGCTTCTTCCGTCTCATGTGTCCTCTGTCCACAAACATGCACACTCAGGCACATACACAAAGCACATATGCACACACCCTCACACACTTGTGTACACACATTTACACGTGCCATGCACACTCGTGCGATTACACACACATGCACACACACTCAGGTACATACAGCACACATGCACACACCCTCACACACTTGTGTACACACATTTACACGTGCCATGCACACTCGTGCGATTACACACACATGCACACACACTCAGGTACATACACAAAGCACATATGCACACACCCTCACACACTTGTGTACACACATTTACACGTGCCATGCACACTCGTGCGATTACACACACATGCACACACACTCAGGTACATACACACAGCACACATGCACACACCCTCACACACTTGTGCACACACATTTACACGTGCCATGCACACTCATGTGTGATCACACACACATGCACACTCGGGTACATACATCACGCATGCATGCACACCCTCACCATTAGGTCAACATGTCTTGATCCATTGTTGGCCAGCTCTGCCTTGAGCACAGGTTGGCTGGGGTGAACAGATGTGGCTGGGGCAGGACTGTCTCTGGAGGCTTTGCAGAAGAGAGACCCAGATCTCACAAAAGCTCTCCAGGCTGAGGATGTGCATATGCAGACCGGGCTGTGCACCTCGCTCACGTCACATTTGCCGAGTGACCGGGGCAGGGAACTGCTGAGGCCAGAAGGGTTAAAAACGCAGTTTGGATGCTGAGATGAGACGTTTGACCATCATCCAGCTGACCGCGGGAGCCAGTGGTCATCAGGAGGCAGCGTGTGGAGGCGGCATGAATGGAGAATTGACTTTCTATATCTCTGCCTTCCCCGGACACCAGGCTGTGCAAAATAAGGCTCCAATCTCAGCGCTGCAGATCCAGCCTGCGTTGAGCTGAATTGGCCCATGTGGGTGGGGGGTGGATGGATGGCTGGATGGGTGGATGGACACGTGGGGGCAGGCAAGGACACGCTGTCTATTTCGTACCACTGCATGCGGGCCTCCGCCCTGCTCACGTGTGCTGGCTTGAATGTTGTTTTGTTTCTATTTGTTTTGGGAACAGATGAGCGAACAGGGGCTCAGTGAGGCAAGATGGCTTGTCTGTCCCAAGAGCTCGGATTTTAGCCAAGACCTTCTGACCCCAAGTCCGCCCTGTGCCCTTGGTGTAGGGTACAGATCAGGAGACCTGCAGCTGCGTGGCCAGATGGATGCATTCCCAGGAGTGGGGTCCACAGCCAGCCACTTCCGTCCTCCCTCCTGCCCAGGATAGAGGCAACTCACCTCCCACCCACTCCCAAGTATGCCCCAAAGCCTCTCTGCCCTGGCTGCTCCCAACCCCCGCAGGAAGGACACAGGAGGAGCAGGCCTGGGAGGAGGTGTAATGAGCAGTCCCTGCCCCTCAGAAGGGCCAAGCTCACACCACCCCCAACCCCTGCAGACACCCAGCACCACCCAGAAGTCTCTGACCTACCTACACCCGAGCCAGATGGGCCTGCCCCATGCCAGCCGGCCAGCCACAGCCTGGGCCAAGCGGGAGGAGGGACGGCTTCCGGACAGGAGCCCAGGCAGCCAGACCCATGTCCGCAGGCTGTTGGCAGGGCACAGCGAGGGGAGGCAGAGCTCCACCAGCTGCAGCGTCAGCCCCGCAACACCGGAGCTCTCTGCTCAGGATGGGTCTGGGGAGCCACAGCTGGAGCTGGTGGGAGGCATGACCCTCAGTTCCAGGGGTCCCTTTCCTTTGTTGCTTCTACACACACACACACACGCACACGCATGTGTGCATGCAGGAATAGACACTCACCACACACGCACACATGATCTCACACACTTGTACACACATTTATATGTGCCACGCACACTCACGTGTGATTACACACACATGCACACTCAGGTGCATACACACATCACACATGCACACACACTCTCACACACTTGTACACACACATTTACATGCACCACACACGTGTGATTACAAACATGCACACTGAGGTACATACACAAAGCACATATGCACACATCCTCATGCACGTGTGTATACACATTTACACGTGCCATGCACACTCGTGTGATTACACACACATGCACACACAGGTACATACACACAGCACACATGCACACACCCTCACATACTTGTGCACACACATTTACACGTGCCATGCACACTCACGTGTGATTACACACACATGCACACTCAGGTACACATAAAATGCATGCACGCACACCCTCACACACTTGTGCACACACATTTACACGTGCCATGCACACACACGTGTGATTACACACACATGGACACACAGGTACATACAGCACACATGCACACATCCTCACACACTTGTGCACACACATTTACACATGCCATGCACACTCACGTGTGATTACACACACATGCACACACTCAGGAACACACATTACACATGAACATACCCTTGCACATTGTGCACACACATTTACACACACCATGCACACACATGCGATTACACACACAGGTACATACACACACACCACATATGCACACACGCCCTCACACACTTGGGCACACACATTTACACACACCATGTGCACCCACATGATTACACACACATGCACACATATGCATGCACGTGTGCACACACACAAATACACTCATGCCTACACACATACACATGCACACACACAAAATATATGTACACATTCATGCACACAATGCATCCACATGCACACATACAGTTACACTCACAGTACACGCCCATTTATGCAATTACACTTGAGTACATGCATACACTGGCACGTGCTGGCTCACACACAGGCCCCTGTGTCAGAGCCCAGGGACGGGTCGGCACGCCCGAGGTTGAAGGTGCCCGTGCCAGTGGGCAATGCCGGGGGTTGGCAATGATGATGAGTCAGGAGCAGGACGGGAAAGCCGACGGCAGTTGCGATGCGGGGCGGGGTGGGGCTCAAGCTCAAGGATGGAGCAGAGGCGAAGCTGGCCAGGCGTCCTTCCTCCCAGCCAGCCTCTGCCCAGCCTCTTCCCTCCCCGCATCCCCCGTCTTCTCCCCCACCCGGCAGGGCAGCTGCACTGGTAGAGTACATCTGGCCTTGGCCACTCAAGTCTGGGCTGGGGAAATGTGATGATTAGGCTAAACGTGAGCCAAGCCCTTCCTTCCGGTGCCTCGGGGTGGGGAGGAGGGCACCGGGGCCTGCCCTCGCCCTCACGCTCCTTTCCCCAGGAAGGGCTCCAGCACCAGACACATTTACATAGGGCTGCCCCCCTCACTGTGAGCCCATCACAGCCTCCCTCCCACCATCTCCATCCCTGTCGCTCCACCTTGACCTCAGGGGGACTGGGTCATGTCTGCCCAGCACCTGCTCTGCTACCAGTCAGCTCTTCTCACAGCACTGAGGTGATTCTGGAAGTCATGCCCTCTCAGGGTGGAGGCTGGGGAGGTGTAGAACCTGTTTACATCCCTCTTCCCTGAGCTGTCCTGGCCACCCAGGACTGGTCTCCACGCATGGCCTGGCAGAGCTGTGTAAGCACCTGCCCTTGGGCTCCGGGTGAGGAGCTGGATAAGAAGGTGGCCCCTCTTGCTTTCCACAGGGGTAGGATTCCAAGCCCTCTTCAGCCCCATGCTGGCCCCATCCCTGTACACGGAGGAGTGGCTGTTGCCCAGGTCTACGTCCCATGTCCCCTGAGCCTGAGCACGGACCCTCTCGGCCCGCCCCCAGCCCCTCCTGCGGGTTCCGCTGTGCTGGCTGAGCAGAAAGCCAGGCTCTGATGGCTCAGGAGAGGGAAGGGCAGACCCCTGCCCGCCCAGACCTAGCCAGTACCCCGACCTCTCTGGGACCCGCGATCAGGACCCCTCGCTGTCCTTTGAACCCTTGGCCCCTCAACTGCACCTGCTCTACCCGTGTGCTCCCCTGAGAGGGAGAGGGGCCGGGCTTGCCAGCCAGGGACCGTCCTGCCGGCACCACCTCTCCAGCCCACCCTTGCCCCCTGCCGCCGCCCGGGCTCACTTTGAGGGAGTAGGCCAAGGCGATGAAGCCCAGGCAGCAGAAGTTGAGGTAGACGAAGTTGAAGATGGACCATAGGTAATAGTCGTTCACCTCGGTGGTGTCCGGGTAGACCTCGATGACGGTCGTGGGGTTGGTCATCGTCTTCTTCTCGGCTAGGTGCTTGCAGGCCGGGGGCGCGCCGGTGGCCCGCACGCTGTCGGTCTTGCTGCTCTTGGACTCCATGGGGAACAGTGTGGGCGCCATCGGGGGAGAGGCCGAGGGCTCAGGGGCAGGGGCCGCTGGAGCCTGCAGGGCGGGGGGCTTGGACACGCAAGCGAAGCAGCCCTTGGGCGAACCTGCCGGGGGCCTCGGGATCCAGAAGGCCCCGTCCAGGGGGACTCGGGCTTCCTGGGCGCCGTCCGTGGTGCTGGCCGGGGCTCCCAGCGGGGCTGGGCACTGGTCGGGGCCCTGGGCCTGGAGAGGAGACAGTGAGAGCGAGCTGGGCCCGGCCCACCGGCCAGCACCCACCCTCACGCCCGGCGGCCCCGAGAACAGCCCCAGTGGAGACGGAAATCCCTGCGGGGGCCGCCAGCTGCCAGCCTGCCACCTGCCTCCCCCACCCGCCCCGGGGCCTCGGCGGCCACAGACGATGCCAAAGCCCTTCGCAGCAGCCTTGGCAGGGACCTGGGGCTTTCATCACTTTGCCATCTGCGCACAAACACTCACCCACTGACACACACAACAGCACCCCCCCAGAAGCACACCGACGCTGAGACTGACACTGTTGCAAAACACAGAGTGCCCCAGCACCCCAAACAACCCCGCACACATGGGGCGCGGGACCCACAGCCACGCTGCCTCAGCCGCCAACCGGCAGAGCGAGCAGAGCGGCCAAAGCACCTGTCCACGGCGCCCGCGGACACCCGATACCGCCACGGGCACCGCCACGGGCACCGCCACGGGCTCCACCGCGGGCTCTCCAGACCCCGGGCGCACCCGCGGGCGCGCTCAGAGCCACTGAGGAGTAAACAACTCCCCACACAAGGCGACGCAGGCTCAGCCACGAGCGCTGAGAACCGGTACAGGTGCGGGGTCTCCAACTCGTGCGCACCGCCCCCCACCTCCAACCTGGGGACCCCAAGCGCGCACACTTGCCCGGAGCCACGCACCCCCGGGCCATACACAGACGCACAATGACAGGCTGCGAAACGAACACTTCTCCAACGCGGCACCAAGTCGCTCGCGCCCTGCGCCACCCCGCGTGCCCAGCGCCCGTGCAGCGCGCGCCGGGGGGTCTGCGGCCGAGGCTCTGCGGCCCCCAGCCCGACCCGGGTCTGCCGCAACCGCTCGGACGGCGCCTCCTCACCTACAAACGACTCCTCCTCGGCGCGCGGCCGGACCCCCTGCGCCTCGGTGCGCGCGTCCTTCCGCCGTCCCGCGGGCCGCTGTCTGTCCACTGATCCGCGTCCCAGCGGCCCAACCTTGAGGGGGTGGGGAGCGTGCGGGGCTCGGCGGCGGCGCCGCTGCCTCCCCAGCCGCCTGTGCTCCCTCCGCAGCGCCAGACCGGCCGCGCGGCTGCAGCCCAGAACCTGACTCACGGCGGCGGCGGCGGGCGCAGCCACCTCCCCGCCTCCCGCCTCCTCCTGCCGGGAGGGTGGGGGCTGCGGGCCCGGCCGGAAGCCGCGACCCCGGGGAGTTGCAAGGTCCTGCAGGGATGGGACCCCTACAGCGCCCGACCAGGGTGCCGGCGCCACCTCCATCTCCCCGGACCCGCTGTGTCTTCCTCCCCACCCCACCCGGCCCCATCCCTCTCGCGGAGCCCCCCGCCCCGTGAAAGACTAGCGGCTCCCGGAACCCTCTCTATCTGCCTCCCCAAGAGAGACCCCCTTCCTATTAACGCTCTCCCCATCGCGCTCTACCCCAGCGCCTGGGCCCTGCTGCCTCAAGGGACCCCCGCCCCTGGGTCCTGCCCTTCTGGCCTGTTGACTCTCAGTTCCAGCAGCTCAGTTCCCTCCTGAAGAAGCTCCAGTCCCCTGAGCCCCAGCAGGCCTTCTACCTGAGTGCCCATCTCTGCCTGTCCTATCTCTAACCAAGTCACCAAGGCCCCCAAGGCCACCCTCCAGTCCCTTCCCTCCTTAGCCCACCAAGTCCAGGCCCTCCGACAAGTTTCAGAGACCCCTACTCTGTTCCTTCCTGGCTGAGCCCACTTCTCCCATCGGAGCTCCTGCCCCCTTTCCTGGAGTCTGACTTCACCCAGCCAGGGCCCCACTCCAGTTCACTCCCAGAGTCTGGGAGCATGCGGCCTCTCCTGCACAGACCCCAGGTCACACTCCCTCTGCCCGCAGGGCAAAGTGTCCCATTCCGAGCTCTGGTCCCATGCTGAGGTCCTGGCTGCTAAGGACACTTGTCTCCCTGAAGGCTGGTCCACTCACCTGCCCACAGCCTCTCTGCGATCCCTACCAGCCCTTCTGGGCCCGGTCCCCTGAGGCTTCTTTGTTCCCTGTGAATCACTTTTCCTAACCAATGCTGGTCCTCCCAGCCTCAGCCGCCTCCGCTGCCCCACCACATCCTCACTCTCACCGTACGCTTGACCCCAACTGATCTTCCATCCCCATAACAGTCCCCATGAGTCCCTCCCCAAAGAGAAAACTCTGGCCTTGCCTCCCTGCCTCCCTCCGAGTCCCCCACTTCACCACACAGGTGCCCTAAACTGGGTCCTCTTCACCAACCTCCGGCTCCCACTGAGCCCCGACCCCCTCCAAAGTCCCCCGGAAGCTGAGGGTGCATGGCGGCCCCCGTTTCCCTCCCTCATCTCTCTCCAAGCCCTGTCTTCCCATGAAACTCCTTTCTCCTCTGCCTCTCTAAATTGGCCTCCTGTGTCTCCGCAACCCTCTTTCCTGTCTGGAAGGCCAGTCCTGCTTGGGGTCCTTCTGTCTGCCTGTGCCTGAACCCCAGGTCATCTCTGAACCCTTTCTCTCCCCAAACCTCTGTTCTGAACCCTGATCCCCTGGAAAAGCCCAGCCCTCTGCAAGCCCCTCCCCTTTCCAGCCTAGTCTCCACCCCTCATGCCTGGGCTGACCCCTGGCAGAGCGTTATCCACAGCACGCCAGGAACCCACAGCACAAGGCTGATCTTAAATGATGCTGATAAACCCTAGTGAGCAGGAGAGGTCATCAAGCATGAGGGGCCTCCTCCTCATCTCCTTGGGCACCCTGGCCATGCTCTCCCTGGAGCCCACAGGCCATGGGTGGATGGGGCCTGCCAGAGAACCAGGGTTCCGTTCTCCCTCCCCAACTCCCTCCTCCTTTCCAAGGGCCTGGCCCAGGGAAAACGACCTGGTGTCTTCAGGTGGGGCCTGATCTTGGGGGCCTCCCAGGCTGCGTGTGGCCTGTGTGCCATGCCCCCATGTCTCCCCAGCATCTGAACTGGGCCTACCTGACCAGCCACCACCTTCTGGGAGACACTGGCCTACCACACAGCCTCTCCCCAGTGCTGCCCCAGTCTGCCCTGAAGGCTTCAAGCAGTGAGGAGGCCTCCATAGAAGGAGGAGAGGGTTGCCTGGGCCCGAGGGGCCAGGGCCTGCCCAGGGTCACTGGGTAGGTGACAGGGGAGCCAGGGCCTGCTCCCGGCCTCAGGCCACCTTGGGGCTGCCTCTCTCTGAGGCCAAGAAACACCACTGAGAGGGAGCCAAGGGTCACAGAGGTCACAGGGCAGAGCCAGGGCCCAGCCAAACTCAGCACAGCCAGCATTCATGTGACTGTACTGGGCTCTCCAAGGGCCTGGGCTCCAGCATACTCTCTGCTAGGGGTTTCTGGTTACAACCGTGTCTAGACAGGAGGGACTCCAGGGTCCAATCACCAGCTAGAAAACCAGAGGAGCCTGGGGTCAGACTCCAGGGCCCCGAGAATCCTGCCGGGCGGGAGGGAGCCCTCAGAGCAACCCCAGGGCAGCAGCCGTGAAGATGGGAGCTGGACGGAGCTGACAGGCTGCAGAGGGAGGGAGAAGGGGAGAGTGGGACAGGGCGGGGACAACAGGGCATGGCTGCCTCCTTGCACCTCTCTGCCCCCTCCGGGCCTCAGTGCACAAAGCATCTGACGTCGGGACATTTGTCTCCCCAGAAGCTCTGCCGGGCTCTGCTCAGATTCCAGGAATGCCAAACGTTAGGCATGTGTTTCCAAGCCTCCATGCCACCCCGGGTAAATGTTCTTGCTCCAGGTGTCTGCCGTGGTGTGACTCTGGGGTGCAAGCCCTGGAACCCCCTTGGGAGGAAGGCCAAGGCAGCCACCACCCTCAGGCGGAGGCATCAGGATAATGGCAAATGTCACATTCGCCTCATCTTCTAACCTGTTGGGGTGGGGCTCCAAGTGACTCCAGAGCTACTGATCCCAAAAGGAACTCTGAGCTCACCACCACATGCCCACAAACTCCTACTTAGCCCTTAAAACCCCATGGGCTGCTACCACTGCATCCAGGCAATGCTCCCAATCCCTCACCTCCCAGCGGAACAAGCACACTGCCTTAATCAGCCTGGGCATCCGTGACTGTGGCAACTGTGGCTGGAGGGGACTTCTGAGTCCAATCCCTGCAACCAGCGACCCTGGGCAGGCTTGACTGGCGCCAGCTCGGCTCACTGCGCACAAAGCTGCTTCTAGGGCCTGGGAAGCAAGAAGGCCCAGATAGGCCAGCCACCCATGCCACCTGGGGCCATTTCTTTCCCAGGATGAGAGGGCTACGGAGGGTGACTGGGAGGCCTGCTCTGATGGTCCCTGAGAGCGGAAACATCCTCTGTTCAAGTGCCATGGCTGCCTGGCTGGGCCACTTCCCTGAAATCACTCCTCAAGGCTGGCACTCATACTGGACACCCTGTCAGCCCCACCCTGCAGCCCCAGCCAAGGCCACATCCTGCCGGCCACTGCTCCAGACCTGGGAACAAGTCGGTCCCCGCTGGCCAACCAGGCTGGACAGCTGGCCACGGCCCTGGAGCCCATGGGCTGGGAGGGGAAGGGGGCCATAGGCCCAGAGCACCCCAAATGCTTGTCCTGGTGCTGCCCTGATTCAGCTGCCGTGCTGGCTTCGCACTACCCACCCCCCTCCCCATCCCAAGTTGGAGCCACCCGCCCCCCACCCCCTGCCAAGCAGAGCACACCAGCACAGAGGGGAGGCCAACAACTGTATTTCCACATCAGCTGGGGCTCTCGGTCGCCCAAGGGGAGGACAGGAGTCAGCTGCAGAGGAAGGCTGACGCCAGCCCCCGGTCCCAGCCCCACCTCCAGGCCAATGCATGCCCCAGGGATGGGCTCAGTCCCAGGACCACCGCGCAGGCTCCAGAAGGTGAGTTTTATCCCCTCACTCCTTCCAGCTCATCCTCAGGCCTCCACTGGCCTCATCCACAATGGGCCCAGGACACTGGACAGGTAGGGGTGGCAGAGCCCAGCAGGGCCCAAGCTGGGCAGAGGGGCCCAAGCTCGGCATAGGGGCCCTCGGGTAGGGCAGGTTTCCAAGGGAGGGTCCGGGAGGACGGCCTGGTGTGGGGTGGCGGCTCAGCCCAGCGGGCGCTGGTAGGGCTGGGGAGGGGACTCCCTGGAGATGAAGGGAGCCCCAGGATACACAAGCTCGGCTGCCAAGCTGGGGCGGGGTCTTCCAAGCGTATGGAACAGATCTGTGCTCCAGATCAGCTCTACCCCCACCAGACAGACAGACGGACGGACAGGCAGACAGATGGACAGGTGGAGAGACAGGCGGACAGGTAGGTGGCGTTTCTGAACCCAGGGAGGGGAAAACCACAGAACAAAACAGCAGGTCTGGCTTGGGCCGCCGGCTTCCAGGGCGCCCAGGGCAGTGGGCAGGCAAGTGTGTGAGTGTGTGTGACTACGTGTGGGAGGCGCCGGGGGGCCGGGGGCCTCCTCCTCCGGGACTGTCCTCTGTTTCTGTGCTGGCACGCCGACGGCTTGGGAACTAGAGGCGGGCAGCCTCGGCGAAGCCCACCCTGTTGTTGTCGCGGTCAAACACAGTGTAGTAGCGGCCGATGAAGACGTCGCCCAGGATCCAGAGTGGCCCGCTGGGTGGCGGGATGTCCATGCCCATGAAGCCGCTCAGGCAGAGGGTCTTCCCGGCCTGCGACACCTGGGATGGCCCTGGTGGTCAGCACCCAGGCCTGGCACCAGCCGCCCCCCAACCTGTTGCCGGCTCACCTGGGGCATGCGCCCCACCCCCGTTCACCTGGGCCGTGTGCGCCCCCCGCCCGCTCACCTTGAGCGTGTGCACCCACCGCCCACTCCCCTGGGGCGTATGCCCCCTCCGCCTGCTCACCTTGAGCGTGTAGTCCTCTGGGGACAGCTTGTAGCCTTTGCCTCCCAGCTTCAGTGTGATCGTGGGCAGGGTGGACACCTTCTCACAGGGTATCATGTACTAAGAGGGGTCACAGCGGTGTCAGGGTGGTAGTGGTGGTCTTGGGGCTCCCCCTACCAGCCCCAGCCCCAGCCCCAGTCCCCGGCGCTCACCTCGCCCTGAATCAGCGGCACGGCCCCGATAGCTTTCTGCAGCTCACGCACCTCATCCACAGGGCCCACCATGAGGGAGGTGCCTGTGTCCACAATGGCCTCACAGCCCTCCTTGCACAGGGTCAGCCCGCTGGCCACCTCCACCCTGCAGGGAGTCAGGGCGTGAGGCCCCTGCCTGGACTGGAGTGTGCTCTGGAGGCCCAGTGCCCCCCCCGGGAGCCCCTCTCCCATACCCCTCCCCTGGCTGGGTTGCACTCTCCTCCTCTCAGCGCTCCTGGATGCACAGGGGACCGTGAGTCCTCCAGGGCAAAGGGTGGGAGAGGAGACCCAGAGTGGCAGAGGGGATGATGGTGATGGGCATGGAGGGGATGGATGGATGGAGGGGATGGAGAGGCATGGAGGGATGGAGGGATGGAGGGATGGACAGATGGAGGGGATGGAGGGTCATGAAGAGTCACAGAGGAATGAGGGGATGAAGGGCATAGAGGGATGGACAGATAGACGGATGGAGGGGATGGTGGGTCATGGAGAGTCACAGAGGCATGGAGGGGATGGAGGGATGGGGGGGATGGGGGGATGGAGGGGATAGAGGGGATGGAGGGGATGGGGGGCATGGAGGGATAGAGGGGATGAGGATGGGGGGATGGGGGGATGGAGGGATAGAGGGGATGGAGGGATGGGGGGGATGGGGGGCATGGAGGGGCATGAAGGGCTGGTCCGACCCCATCTCTTTCTTGCCCAGCTCCACCACTCCCCACAGGCACCCCCACCTGCAGAACCCGGTTCCTCCAGGGTCCCTGCATGCCGCTCCCACCCACAGAACCCAGGGGAGCGGACTGCAGCCACTACTCACTGGTCCAGGCGGACCTGCCAGTAGGCCTTGCGGGTGACATTCAGGTAGGACAGAGAACCCCTGTAATACTTGGAGTCCGTGCCGCCCAGCATCAGCTCACCCCCGGGCTGCGCGGTTGGGTCCCTAGGAGGAAAGGAAGGGAGGAGTCAGCTGCCACTCCACCCCCCAAGCACAGGAGGGCCAGGTCAGGAGTAAGGGGGTGAATGTGGCAATCGGGGAGAGCTTCCTGAAGGAGGGGCTTTCTGGGCCTGCAGGGATGGAAAGGCCCAGAAGGCAGGAGGAGGGACGGACTCCCTTCTTCCTGGGGTGGGGCTGCTCTGCGTGGGCCCAGCCTGCCCCGGAAGAGGTTTTCCTCAACCCTCAGGTTCTCCTGGTCTGCTCAAGAGCCAAGGTTCAGCCAGACATCAGGGTCAAGGCTGGGGGCAGACAAGGAAGTGAATGCCAGGAGCCCAATGGGGAGGACCCTGTCTGTCTGTCTAGAAGAGAAACCAAGGAAGGCTTCTAGGAGGGGGTGATGGCACAATCTGGGAAGTTGGGATGGCTGGGTCCGGCCTCAGGGCCTCTGCACTGGCTGTTCCTGGGAACAGCCTCCAGCTGCATTCCCGAACCACGCCCACTCATCTCCCCTCATCCAGACCAGCGATGGCCAAGGTGCTTCTGGGCAGCAGCACACTGCACTTCCCAGGACCTGCAGCCCGCGTCGCCTGGGTTCGTTTCCAAACATGACTCAAGTACAAGATTTCAACGCAGCAAATCCTGCCAGTCCCGTTAGAGAAGCTCTCTGTGTCGGGTGGTCCTGCCATCCCGCCAGGGCATCTGTAGCTAAGCTGGCCACCATCCCGCTGCCCGTCACTCGAGGCAGCACCAGGCCTGACCCAGTCCTCCCAGCACTGCTCAGGGCCTCCGCCCTCCTCCAGCCTCCTCCGCCTTTGCTTCCTGTCAACACCTCTGCAATCCCAAGTGTAGAAACCCGATCAGTGCCTTCCACCCCTCCTCTCCTCACCAAACATGCTTTCAGAAGCCCTCAGACCCTCCCTCCTGCCTGGCTTCACTTCCTGCCCAAGCCGCTGCCTTGAGACTACAGCTGGGCACTCACAACTGCGTGCCCCTCCCCCCACCTGGCACTCAGTCTGTGTGCCCCTCCCCTCACCTGGGCACTCACCCTGTGTGCCCCTCCCCCACATGGACATTCATGCCTGTGTGCCCCTCCCCGCACCTGGATACTCATACCTGTGTCCGCCTCCCCGACCTGGGCACTCAGGCTGTGTGCCCTCCTACCCCATGTGGGCACTCATGCCTGTGTGCCCTCTTGCCCTCAGGGGACCCCTCTTCACCTCGCTGCCTCGCCTGTGCCCCAAGGCTCCTGGGGAAATGGCCCAGCTGGTTCACCTGTGTCCTGGCCTCCAGTGAGCAGCTCAGCCCAGGGTGTTGCTAAGGAGTATTCACTGCCCAGGCAACGGACAGAGTAAAGAGGCCAGGCCAGCCCCACAGCCAGAATTCTGCCAGCAGTGCCCCAAGGTCAGGCGTCAGGCCCAGAGACTCCAAGTGCCAAGTGAGCCACATGAGGTGAACCTGCCCCTGTCAGCCCTGGAGAGTATGGGGCAGTGACCAGGCACAGCTCAGGGCAGGAGGCCGCCGGCTGACACGCTGTCCACCCCCAGGGCAAAAGCCCCCAACCCCCAGTCACCCCTCTTATATGGAACCCTCCACTCAGGTCTGCCCGAGAAGAGGAAACTAACTAAGGCCGAGGCCCCCTTCCCAAGGTGGCCTGACCATGGCTCACCCATGCTGAAGCAGTGGCAGCAGGTGGGGACCCTGGGGGAGAACCCTTTTCCCAGAAGGAAGGGCCCCCCTATGCTCCTCCTAGAGGGCAGCCAGCACCTGCTGGGGACACCCACAGAGCTGCTCGCTGCGTGGTGCCGGGGACCCACACCCACCCAAGTCACCTCCCCAGGGACTCCCAGGCCCCTGGGCACCATGCCCCCTCTCCACCATCAGCAACCCGGGACCAGGACCACACATGCCCATCACCAGGTCCAGGGACCAACGGGCCAACTGAACCAAGAGGAACTGCCATGACCCCCGAACTGGGTCTGTTCTCATAGGAAGGAGGCCCAGCTGCCAAGGTCCCAGGACCCACAGCCTGGCCTGAGCTCCTCCCACTGGGAGACCCCGGCCAAACAGCTTTCTCTGCGATCTGCTTACTCCTCTGCAGAAGGGCGGCCAACCCCTGCCTCCCGGACACCCTGAGGTCAGAGGTCAGGAGCTCTGGCCACAGCAGCAGGGAGGGGGCGGCACTGAGTGGGGGTGCCCGGGAGGCTCCCAGCCCAGCCCCGCCCTGCCTCCCAACAACGCTGAGCGAGGAGAGCAGGAGGGGAGAGGGAACCCACGCGCCCACCTGTTCAGGTAGAAGGAGAAGATGTTCTGGTCCACCAGCTTCTGCTGCATCAGGTTGTCGAAGACGGGTAGCACGTTGTTGACGGAGATGCGGGGATAGGCCATGCCCAGGATGCCGTCGAACTTGGCTGCGATGAAGGTGATGCCTGGCTGCTTGATGGCCTCCCCGAAGACCTGCCTCTCCACTTTGACACCGCCCAGGGCAGCGGTTGATGACGCTGACTTGCAGGGCACCTGCAGGCCAGGGCAGCGTCAGTGGGTCGCAGACAGGCTGAGCCCTACACCCCTCTCTGAGCATGAGGCTGCGCTACAAAACCCAGCTCAATGGATACCCCTCATCTCACACACGATGGGGCCCAGAGGGCCCAGCAGAAAGGGCTGGAAACGGTGAGCTGAACACAGCGGGGCATGGGGACGCGGGGTGAGGTGGAGCCCTCTTCGTGGGAGACTTTGGGGCTTGGTTTTAAGGAGATGGGAACCAGGCAGGAGCACAGACGGGGAGACCCCTTGCCCCACTCCCTGCTCTGACCTCTTGTTCCCACCACCACCAACAAGCAGGTCCTGCTCCTGCTCCTGCTCCTGCCCTCAGCCTTGGGAACAAGAGACAACCCAGGCCAGGAGCCCGAGAGACGGGGAAGCCGCCGACCCCAACCCAGACTCACAGCCGTGCTGCCCCCGTCCCCCTCTCTGACTGTCCCCTCCCCCAGCCCTGGATGAGGCTGCAGAAAGAGAACAGGCCAGAGCAGGATGTGGGAAGGGAACGACAGCTTGAGGCTGACACGGGGCGGAGGAGGCGGAAGAGGACAGACGGGGCAATTTCCCGTTCAGGCTGAGCGGGGCCCAGAGGAGAGGGCTCTGAGGAGCCCCTGTACAGACCTGGACTCCAGCCCAGCACGGACTGTTAGGAGCAGGTCCAGCTGGAGGAAGGGGCCCTCTTCCCAGGTCCCTTGGCCTGCAGGGGGGCTCTGCTGCCCTCCTGGCCTGCTCCGGAGCTGGGGGCTGTGTCACCGTCCCACTACTCCTGAACCCCTTGCGGCCTGGCCCACCCCCAGCAGAGAGCTCCGAGGTGAGAATTCACTGAGGCCCAGGCAGGGTGACAAGGGCCAGCTCACCCTCTCCTTGGGCAGGGAGCAGCTCTGCACAGGGCCCTGAGGATGGTGGAGCGCAGGCAGGGCCCCCAACAGCCACTGCTGCTCCCCCTCCCTTACCCTCCCAGGCTCCTGCAGGTGACTCTCTGCCAGCAGCCCCCACAGCGGGTTCCTGGCAATCCTCCCAACCCCAAGCCTCCCCAACCCCTTGGCCTGCTGCAAGGATCCTGTGCAGCCCCAGGCCCAGCCCTCAACACCTGCTGGCACCTCAAACCCAATGTGCCAAAAAAAGCCCAATCAATCTGCCCTGTCCTCCCTCCCACTCACTGTGGCCTGACTCCGGGGACCCCTGCCCCTGCAGCCCCCAGGTTCGAGGCTCTCTCTCCAGCCTGCACATGACCAGGCCCATTCCCAGGCCCCTCCTCATCCTGCTGACCGCCCCGGCCACCTGAGGGCTGGGGTCGGCCTGGGATCACCGCGCCCTCCCTTTCAACCACATACCCACGGTGGGTGAACCGCACACCCTGGCACCCTCGAGTCCCGGGAAAGGCCCCAGAGGGACTCACCGACACAGTGTCCTGGCTCAGGTATCCGGAGAGGCTGCCCGAGCCGTAGTGGATGGCAAATGAGGTGCCATTCTTCACGTAGGTGCTGGACTTGTCGCTGTTGTATTTGTGGTGGAGCCCTGCCCCGGGCGAGAAGAGGGCCCGCCGGTCATCCCGCAGCCCACGCCACGGCCACGGCCCTCCCATCCCCCTGCAGTCTACCATGGAGCCCGCTCCCCCCAAGCTGCCTCCCCAGGGTAGGATTTGGAGGGGATCCGAGGCCCACCATCGTGCCAGAGCCCCAGGACTGTGGGCTGTGACCCCGGGCCTCCCTCCCAGCCACAGCTGGCTCCCTCCGCGGCCACCCCAGCCCCAGCGCTGCTGAGAGCAAGACCACAGCTGGTGGTTCACCCAGAAAGCCAGTGCCTGGAGCAGGGTGGAGGGCTGGCCTGGCTCATGGGGCCAAGAGGTGGGAGAAGTGCATTGCCCAAGGATTCCTGAGGCAGCCCTGTGGCGACATCCCAAAAGGGCAGGACCTGGGAGACGGGGCCGGGGTACGTGACTCACAGCAAGCGATGTCCAGCAGTTTGCAGTGGATGGAGGGGACCCACAGGTTGGAGGAGCCCGTGTCGAAGACGACCGTGAAGCACTGGGGAGGCGTCCCGATGCCGATCTCCCCGTAGTACTGGGCCTGGCAGGGGACAGGGTCTGTCAGGGATGGGGAGGGGGCCCTCTCTCCCCACCGGGCCTCAGAAGGCCCGGCTGTCCCCAGAGCCAAACCCTGAAGCCTGAAGGCCCATGCTGGAGGGACGAGCATCATGGGGCCCACAGCTGCCAACAGCCACCTACTCCAACCGGCTCAGCCTGCAGGGAAGATGGGCCAGGTCCCCAGCCCTCAGTCCTAATGCCCACAGGTGCTTGGGGTCTCCAGACCTCTGGGTTCTGCCACCTACCCCTGCTCGACACATGGTGAGGCTGAGGACTTCCCCACGGAAAAGACAAGTCCGGAGGTCAATCCAGGGTGGGGACAGATGTGGCCCTCGGCCTGAGCCCCAGGTACAGGAAGGGCCTGCCTGGAAGACTCCCCTGGTGGCCTGGGGTCCAGGGCCTGAGAAGGGAAGTGACTTCCTCCCCAGGTTGGGACCGTATCAGGGTCTGATTCTGGGTGTCTCAGTGCCTGCCCTGCCCTCCAGGGTGAACCCCAAGCCTGGAGGGCTTCCAGGCAGAGGGGTTCAGCTGGTCAAGGGGAGAAGGTAAGCCTTAGTCACTGCCTGCCCAGCAACCCTTCCTTAACGGCCCAGGGCCTCAGTTCTCCCATGTGTACACAAGGATAGCAGGGACAGGTGGGGGTGCTGACTCAGGGATCAGGCAAGTACAAGGGGTCCCACGCCCACTGAGCATCTCAGGAGGCAGAGAGTAAGAGGGTCCTGGAGTTTGGGGTCGCCTGGGCGCCCGCTTCCCCCAGGAATAGAGCCTGGGCCACTGTCAGCCACCAGATTCCTGGCACCAGCCCAGCCCGATGTTTCTCTGACCGCCTGGCTTCACAGAGCAGCAGCAGCTGCTGACTCATGGCCCCACAGAAGTGACCACTGGCGGGGGGACACTCAGCAAATCTCCATGTGCGCGTGTGCATGTGTGTGCCTCGGCGTGCTCTCGCGCTAGGGCGATCAGGAACTGGCCGGTCGGGACCAGGCACACGGCACCCGGTTCCCCCCAGGCCCCCTCCCCACAACCCGCCCAGTCACATGCCTATGAGTCTTGGGCTTCCTGTCACAGCCAGGACTCGGGCCAAGCAGGACAGAGGGCAAGGCCCCCCCGCCACAGTGGGCCAGAGCCCCGAGGCTGGACAGCAGGCCCTGGCCTCGAACTGACCCCATAGAGCTGGGACAAGGCTGACCAAGCCCCAGCTTGCTAGGTGGCTTCCAGAGTGCTCCCCTTTGGATCCTGCTTCCCCCTGAAGGAGTCGTGGGCACAGGAGGGGCTGCTGCCAGAGGAAGAAGATGGGGAGGGGCTGGAGAGGGGCCACGAGTCACCATAGGCCTCCTGGCAGGACAGCAATAAAGACAGGCTCCAGGGCAGCCGGCCACACCCAGGCAGACCCAATGACTGCCCCCCGGGCGAGCTGGCACTGAGGCCCAAGGCCACCCTCAATCACCCTCCCAGGCCCGAGATCCTGCAACCACAGGGGCCAGTGGCAGGAGGTCCAGGATGGGGAAGACAGGAGTGTGGCTGAGCCTGGACGTCACCCTGGCCAAGTGAGTCACTCAAACTGTGCCCCTGAGAACAGGAGGCGGGAGTGTCCCCACAGTCCCAGGGAGCTCTCTGGAGAGCAGCTCCGCTCCCAGCAGGGCTAAGACCCCATACTCACGTCCATGTAGTTCTTCAGCACCTCGGGAATGGGCCCCTCGGTCACGGCCGGCATCGCCTGGGAGTACTTCGAGATGGGGCCTTTGGCAATCAGGTCCTCCACAGGGCCCCCCATCTCCGACATGGTCCGGCGGATGGACGTGAACTTGTGCAGCGGGATCCTGTCAACCAGGGGTTGGGGCATATCAGGGAGGTCCTCCCGCCTGCCGGCCGAGGCCGCTAACATTGCACATCCATCTGGAGGCCCCTGGGGAATCTCGAAGTCACCATAGCCAAAACCAAACTCCTGCCTGTCACCTGGAAACTACTGGCCCACCTCCTCCGTCAGTGAATGGCAACCCATCGCCCCCCCGAGGTTGCACAGGCCACAGTCCTAGGAAGTGGCCACCCACCACCCACCTTGGCCCCACACACCCAACCTGGGGGCCAGTGTGCCCACCCCTCCTCTCCTCAGCCATTCTAGAGGCTCCAAAGCCCCCAAGGGCCTCCAGTCCTCCCTCTGCACCTGCTCTGGTCTCCTCCAGGATGGTGGCCAGCATGGCTGCTCAGGGTGCTGGCGGGCACCTGTCACTCCTGCCCAAAGTGCTCTGAGGTAGCCCACTGTACCCAGCCCCATCACACCTGCTCTCCACCCAGAGACCAGCACGAAGGTGGCCCCACCTCCAGGCTGGCACTGGCAGCTCTGCCTGACCTCCTAGGTGGCCTCCTCTGGCCATGAGATGGGCCCTCCACGCCACCTCCGGAAGCCCTCCTTGACTACCCATCCTCCTCCACATGGACCCTATGGCTGTCCAGTGCCCTCATCCCACACCCGTTCCTGTGCATTGGCCCTTCTCCTCTCTCCATGAGGCTTCACGAGGTCCAGGACTGCACCCGGGGCCTTAGAGGCTTCTGTGCTCCCCCACCCACCACCCTGCCTCCTCCGACAGCTGCACTCAGGGCACCCCTCCAGAGCCCTGTCACCCAGCACACCGCCCGCCAGGGTGCAGGAGGGAGCTCCAGATTGAGGTCAGGGGTCCTGAGTTCTATACACAGGAAGTAAATAACCGAGAGGGGGTCCCTGCCCCTTCCCCAGGGCCACTGGCCTTCCCCTTGGTGTGAACCAACTCCTTGTTCCAAAGAAGCTCCCCTGGGCTTTTCATCACCTGCAGAAAACCTATCCCCTGCCCCAGGGACTTGAGAGTCCAAGGTCATAGCCCGCTTTTCCTGGCACATCACGGGCGTGGTCCAGGAAGATGAGATTATTGCCTAAAAGCTGATGGGCTGGAAGAGCCCCAGGTTCTGTCCTGGGGGAGGGACATGCCCTCCAGGGACCCAGGAAGCAGGTGTAATAGTATCAGTTGCACAAGAGCTGGAATCAGGTGAGGGCTTGCATTCAGCTACCCTGCCCTCCAAGAAGCCCCAGGATCCTTTCCCCACTGCCTTGTCTGTCCTCCTTGGAGAGGGGAGGCCTGTGGATAGGCTGGCAAGGTCAAGGCAGGCTCAGGCTTGTGGCTGCTCCCCCACAACGACTTTAATTGGGGTTACCCGCCCCCGGGCCGTTCCCCACAGCCTTTGGTGAGGCTCAGTCCTACCCAGCCCACTGCTCCTGCTGGCCCAGCCAGCTCCAGCCTCTGCAGCCTTCTGACCTCACCCACCTGCCCAGGGGCAGTGGACCCATCTCAGGTCCCAGGTCTCCCACAAAGGCAGAGCAAGGGTGGGGCAGGTGCCCAATGGGATGGGTCAGCATACCCCTCCTGGGAATGCAGGCTGCCTTGCAAGGGCTGGGGAGGGGAGTCAAGGAAGCCGACTGCAGCAGCGGCCCTCCTCTGCCCAGCTGGTCAGGTATGTCGGTGGCCCAGTCAGGTATATCCAAGCCCAGTCGGTGGCCTCACCTGGCACAGCGGCTCGGCCTGAGGAGCCTGTGGGCCTCACTGCAGCACAGCCCCAGGCCCGGGGTGGGTGAGCCGGCCCACTCCCTATGCCTCCTCCTCTCCCAGGGACATGGGAACTCCTAGGGTCTGGAGGGGCCTTCCAGCCCAGGGCCTGTGATAAGAGCCGCAGGAGCAAACTTTTAAAGCCCCCAGTTCACAGGTGGTAAAGGGGTCCCTAAGGAAATGGACTCGCCCAGACTCGGGGGCTCTGGGGACTGCACCTAGGTCTCCAGCAAAAAGGGCGCTCAACGCAGACCCCCAATTCCAGCTGCCCCGGATGAGCACTACCTCCCCCAGCCCCGCCCCATCTCCAGGGAGGCTGCGGTCAGTCTGCAGTCCTCACGCCTCCCCCTGGCCCCTCAAGGTACACCTCAGGGTGGCATGGGGAGAGGCGTCTGGCACCTCTGCCCCAGGTCCCCTGCACCTCCGGAGCCCGGCGCCCGGTAGGCGGGTGGGCCGTGCAGGAGACCGCGCAGGGCGGCACAGGTGCATTCCAGCGCGGGGGGCGCAAGGGGCTCGTGGGGTCCCCAGGGGAGCGCGGAAGTCACCACAGGCCCCGGGACCTCGGGGCCGCGACCCCTGACCGTCCCCTGAGCCCCGGACCCTGAGGCTTCACCTGACGAGCGCGGCGGCAGGCGCAGCCAGGATGCAGAGGGCGAGCAGCAGAAGGCTGGGGGGATGCATGGCGGCGGCCACCGGGTCGGAGCGGGGCGCCGAGGCCGCGCGCTTATAGCCGGGATGACGGCGCAGTTGGGCCGGATCAGCTGACCCGCGTGTTTGCACCCGGGCTGGTCACGTGGGCGAGGCTGGCGTGCGCCGGGCGGGGCCTGGGCGGGGCGACCTCGGCGCACGCGCACAGCGCCGAGGAGTGCGCCCGCCACGCCCACCGCCCGCGGGGTCAGCCCGGCTCCGCTTCTGGGGTCTGGGGGATTCCCGTTTCGGCCTGGCAGGGGTCGTGGGGCGGCCCAGCCTGGAGGGCCCCGCGGGGTGACCCCTGTCCCGGCCGCCGCGGCCGTCCCCGCGTCTAGGCCTACGCGGGGCGGTGCGCCCTGGGCTCCTGCACCTGCTCCTCCCGGCGCCGCCTCGCCCCCTCCGAGACGCTCCCAGACCTCCTGCGTGGAAGCCTCTTGCAAACCAAGGTTACATTCAAAGTCCCCAGCCCACCGAATGGACCCTCCGCTCCTCCTCAGGGCTTCCAGAGAAACCTGGAAAACCAGCTCAGGCCCTGCGGCAAAGGGGGTCGGACCTGCTCCGCCCTCTCCCTCTGGGCGCTGTGCTTAGACTCAGGCCTCACCGATGGCTCTGTAGCCTCCAGATCCCTAATTCCAACCTCACCCTGGCACAGCCTCACGTGGCAGACATCTGGCCCGAAGGCAGGCAACGTATTCCATCCCAAAATATATTCCTTTCACAGGTTTTGATATGGCCCTGTACAGCTGTCTCTTGAGGGCGAAATTCACATTTTCTAGAGAAGCTCCTTCCCTAGGAGGTCGGGCACTTTTTAGCCACTCACGTCAGCTCTTTGTTTTGTTTTGTTTTGTTTTGTTTTTTTTTTTTGAGACACAGTCTGGCTCTGTGGCCCAGGCTGGAGTGCAGTGGCGCGATCTCGGCTCACTGCAACCTGTGTCTCCTGGGTTCAAGCGATTCTCCTGCCTCAGCCTCCCGAGTAACTGGGATTACAGGCGTATGCTACCACGCCTGGCTAACATACTATATATATATAGTATGTTATATATATTATATATATATTATATAATTATTATATATATATTATATAATATATATATTATTATATATATTATAATTATTATATATATTATATAATAACATATACATATATAGTATTTTTAGTAGAGATGGCGTTTCACCATGTTGGCCAGGCTGGTTTCAAGCTCCTAACCTCAGGTGATCTGCCTGCCTCAGCCTCCAAAGTGCTGGGATTACAGGCGTGAGTAATCCCACTTCAACTCTTTAGGCAAAACTTAACTCAACCACTTGCCAATCAGGAAATCTTTGAACCCCTATGACCTGGAAGCCACCCCTGCCAACCCTGTTTCCAGGCTGATCCAGTGTATACCTCACATGTGTCGATTTATGGTTTTGGACTGTAACATCTGTCTCTGTAAAATCTGTAAAACCAGGCCGGGCGTGGTGACTGTTGCTTATAATCCCAGCACATTCGGGGGCCAAGGTGGGAGCATCGCTTGGGCCGAAGAGCTTGAGATCAGCCTGGGCAACATGACGAGACCCTGCCTCTACAGAAAAAATTGAAAATTTAAAAAAAAAAAAAGTATAAAACCAAGTTGTTACCCACTCACCTTGCTCACATATTCTCAGGACCTGCTGAGGCGGTTTCGCAGGTCATAGTCCTCACATTTGCTCGGAATAAATCTCTTCAAATATTCTACAGTGTTGGGCTTTTTTTCGTCAACACTCCCTATACACAGGTACCCAGATGGGCCTCATCCTTACTCTCCAAGTGTCCCCTGCCCAAGTGGCCACTCTCCACCTCCTTAGAGCAGCACCTCACTGGGCCCTGCCCTGGCCACCCTGGGCCCTCCTCCTTTGGCCCAGACTTGCCTGTCTCTTAACGTGGCACCATCCCTGGAACCCTGTCTCCAACTTGGCACCATCCCTGGCGGCCCATCTCCAACGTGGCACCGTCCCTCTAGGCCCTGACCTCAAAGCTGAGCAGTGGAACCAGGTCAGAAACTGGGTCTCCTGACACTGAACCTGCGGAGGCCACGGTGACAGCTGCCCCAGGACTTCACCATTCTTGTGTACCCTGGTCCTGCATGGCATGGGGGACTGAATTAGGCCTGTTGGAGGGGAGGGCCCAGTCATTCCCCAGATACTCTGGAGCACGCAGCCAGGCGGGAGATGGAGCCGCTGTAAGTAGGAAAGGGATACTGGGACAAATAATTTTAGATAGGTCCAAGTCACACAGGAAACGGAGCCAGGGGATGTGCTAAACAGCGACCTCCGCAGCAAGGCCCCTCCAAGAAGGTGGCATCTGAGCCTGGACCCAAATGAAGGATGCTTCCCCGGGCTCTCACCCAGGGTGCATTTTCTCCTCCCAGCTCCCTGCGAGGTCGGCGGGCCCCACCCCCCCTTTACAGAGGCAGCAGGGTTCTGTGGTTCTCGGTGGGCGGGATTGGAATTCCCACCTTTTCTGTAACCAAATATATCAGGACCCTGGCCCTTGCAGAACCTCCCCCAGCAGGGTCTGCCTGATGGCCACAAATGAGTGGCCGCCCCCTCAGCCCCGCCTTCCCACCCATTTAGAGCCCTTCATCTGAGGGGTTTTTAAGCCCAAACACAGAAGCCCAAGCAGGCAGACACCCTTGCCCTCAGAAGCCGCCCAGCTGGTGGGGGGCCACGGTCAACCTGGACCTGGCACCTGGGGTTATCACCTGCTTCCCAGCGGACTGGCATCTCGGAGATGTCAGCCGACCCCAGGTGGACTGGACTCCAGCAAGGGGTGAAAAATGGTCACAGCTAGTGTCCCCTGAGCTGCCTTGCTCGGTCCCTGGGCCCAGCGGTGGATGAAGCGTTTGGTGTTCAGGATACTGAGATGTGCACCTGTGAGGACGAATGCTAACAGCGCGTGGCCGACGCTCCGCCCAGAGGCCCCGGTGAGCCGGCGAGGCTGCAAGCCAGTGGGCAGTGCGGATGGCCAGTGGGGCCAGAGGCACGACATGGTGGCGAGCTGTGGGGTGTATGGGCCGGTGCTAGTCAGGCTAAGAGCCTTGGACCAACCCCTGGACAATGGGGCACTGCTGAGCAAGGACCCTCTGGGGGCCCCAAGGGTGGAGAGGCCCCATCCCACTGCAGAGACCATCTGTTAATTATTACAGAGGGGGCATTCTGCCTGGGCCCCCTCGGCTTCCCAGCTCCTGGAGCAGAGTCTGGCACGTGGTAGGTGCCCAGTAATTATGTGTGGGATGAATGCCTGGGTGTTCAGGGTCCCTGAAGGACTGACCCACCAGGCAGGGTGGGACCCTGCAGGCATACTGGGTGAAGGTCAAGGGAGTGACTTCTAATCCTCTTGCCTCTGGCTCACCCAGGCAGACCCTCACAATCTGGGCCTCACCTCTGTCCCTGGAGAGTCAAGGTTGGGCTAATGGTCTCTGGAGCCCTTGCCTGCCCCTGCTAGGAGCTGAGGGTGCAGAAGTGACCCCTGACCTCCTTGTCTGGCTCAATTCCCCAGACTTCTGCACCTGCCAGGCCAATTCAGGAGACCCTCTTCCCACCAGGCCTGCCTTCGGGGCTCCTGGGCCAGTGGGCGCCTGAGTGTGTCCAGGCCCTGCCTCTGGCAGAGTGCAGGGGACAGGTCACTTTTTCATCTTTCACACCCTCATGCTGACCACATGCAGGGACACGGGCTCCATCTGTGGGGTGCTCCGCCCACCTGGAGAGAGGAGGCAGGAGGTGGGGGCTGGGTCCAGGCTCCATCTTGGCCTCTGCCATCGCAGCCCATTGAGCTTCCCACCACGGAGGGGCCCCAAGCTTCTCTCTGGGAAGCCAACCACAGGACGGGGGTCATGGCTTCTCCAGCTGCCTCCTGGCTGTTTGGAGAGTCAGGGAATCACAGGATGGCAAAGTGCCTGAGAGGGAAGGGGCAGAGAAGGGAGTCAGACCTGCTGGGTGCCCACTGCGTGCTGACACTTCCTAACAGGGGCAGGCAAGGGTTGGAGGCTATCAGCCCAACACTGCCTCTCCACGGGGAGTGCTGAGTCCCAGACTGGAAAGGGTCTGCCTGGGTGGGTCAGTCCCTTGGGGGCCCTGAGCACCTGCTCATTCATTCAACATGTGAGTCTCGGGCATCTACCAAGAGCAGGCGCTGCTCTAGGAAATCGAGAAAACAACAGAGAAATTCCCGCTCTCGCGCCGTTCATATCTAGACAGGGGTGGGGGTGGGGAGGTGTGTGGAGGGGCAGACATTAAAATGAAGTGGGGGGGCCCACACAGGGCTTGGAGAGTGGAACATGCCAAAGAGGAGTCTGCTGCAGGGCACAGGGAGGGGCAGATGAGGGCCCTGAAGGAAGAGAAGCCTCTTCTAATCAGACCTTTTTTGAGACGGAATTTCATTCTGTTGCCCAGGCTGGAGTGCAGTGGCGTGATCTCCACTTACTGCAACCTCCACCTCCCAGATTCAAGCAATTTTCCAGCCTCAGCATCCAGAGTAGCTGGGATTACAGGCACATACCACCATGCCTGGCTAATTTTTGTATTTTTAGTAGAGATGGGGTTTTGCCATGTTGGCCAGGCTGATCTTGAACTCCTGACCTCAGGTGATCTGCCCACCTTGGGCTCCCAAAGTGCTGGGATTACAGGCATGAGCCACCCTGCCAGGCCCTCTAATCAGACTTGAAGGAGGTGATGAACCAAAGGCCTGGTCAGGAGGCACTGACAGGAGAACAGGAGAGCAGAGGCCGTGAGGCAAAGGGAGCCAGACTGGAGGCGGGGAGGAGAGGAAGCCGTCTGAGGTCAGAGAGAGGCAGTAAGAAGGGGTGAGACTCTGGATACACTTTTAAGGTAGGGCCTTTTGAAAGAATTTCCAGGTGGATTATTCGAAACCGCCTTTGCAAAATTATGGCTGAGACAGTGAAAGAGCTCTAACTTAATCAACTCCTTCTTGCTTCTAATTTCAAGCTGTCCTTGTTCATTCCTGGGCGTAGGCTGAACTATCTTTGAGAGGAATTTAGTTTATAGTTTAAACAAAGACGTTAACAGCCCTTTCCCAAAGCAGACCTCCTTCTTGCCTGGGAACTAGATTGCCTTTGTAGGACTCACGTTAGCCACACGATTAGAAATTATGGTTTAGGAGTCATGCAGCCGGAGGCTACAAGATTCTCATCCTCCCTAAACTGCTCCTAAGATCAGTGCTCAAGATACTTCGCAGACCCTGCACTTGATGGATCAGCTGGCACCACCCGGATCAATAAACTGGCTCATCTGATCTTGTGGCCCCCACCCAGGAGCTGACTCAGCGCAAGAAGGCAGCTTCAACTCTGTGATTTCATCCCTGACCGATCAGCACTCCTGCCTCACTGGCTTCCCCGTACCCGCCAAGTTGTCCTTAGAAACTCTGCTTCCTGAATGCTTGAGGAGACTGATTTGAGTAATAATAAAACTCTGGTCTCCGCACAGCTGACTCTGCGTGAATTACTCTATTGCAATTCCCCTCTGTTGATGAATGGGCTCTGTCTAGGCAGCAGGCAAGGTGAACCCCTTGGGCGGTTACGGATTGGACCGATAGTGTGTGATGGAGGGGCCAATACTGACATTCCACGGCCTACCCAAAACCCTGGAAGGATGGCCTTTTATTGGCTGAGATGGGAACAGATGCAGGAGGAAGAGGCTTGGGGAGGAAGGCCGGGAGCTCAGTTTTGGATGCTTCAGGTTGAGACAAAGCATGTGGGGCGAGCAGGTGATTCTGCTGCATGGCAGCAGTGATTTGAGTTGTAAGTCCGGGGAGAGGTCCGGGCTGAGATGGACATGAGATAGTCATCAGCGCCATGGGTTGTGATGATAAGATTGGATGGCACCAGGCTGAGTGTAGCTAGAGAATAGAAGAGGTCTAGGGACTGAGCCCAGGGGCCTCCCAACTTTAAGAGGTTAGAGGATTGAAGCTGGGTGCAGCGGCTCACACCTGTAATCCCAGCATTTTTGGAGGCCAAAGCGGGTAGATCACTTGAGGTCAGAAGTTTGTGCCCAGCCTGGCCAACATGGTGAAACCCTGTCTCTACTAAAAATACAAAAATTAGCTGGGTGTGGTGGCAGGTGCCTGTAATCCCACCTACTCGGGATGCTGAGGCAGGAGAATCACTTGAGCCTAGGAGATGGAGGTTGCAGTGAGTTGAGATCATCTGCACATCAGGCAACAGAGCAAGACTCCGTCTCAAAAAAAAAAAAAAAAGAAGAAGAAGAGGTTAGAGGATTGAGCAGGCACCAGCAAAGGAGATAAGGAACCATATGGAGGCAGGAGAGGCCAAGAGGGTGGGGCCAGTAGAGCTGGCTGAAGAAAGTGGTAAGTGGCTCTGCTGATGGGCCTGTGGAAGATGAGCATTCGCCACTACATTTCACAATTTAACCTTGACAAGACCTGTTTTAGTGATGTGGTGGTGGTGAAGTTTAAGAGAGAATGACTATCATATTCAGTCATCAGGACAGTGTGGTATTGACACAAAGATAGATGGGTGGACAGGAAGGAAGAGTCTCAGGCACACAGCATCAAGGCGACATGGAAATGCAGTGGGGGAAAGGGTGATCTTTTCAGGCAATGGAATGGAAAGGTCTCGATCCCTCCCTCACATCATACACAACACTCAATTTTAGATCCGTTAGGGATGTGATGCAAATGGTAAATCCTTTAGGGAGGAAAAAGGCAAAGAAGGCCATCTTCGTGATTTTGAAATCAGCAAAGGTTTGTCATTTAAATAGAACACACACAGAAAAACACCAAAGAGAATGGAAAGAAAAGTCACACATTGGGAGAAAAGATTTGCAAAACATATTTGATAAAGGACTTGTATCCAAAATAGTCAAAGAACTCTCAAAGCTTAACAAAAGAAAATAAACAATGCAATTTAAAAAATGAGCAAATCGTCTGCTCAGACACCTCACCAAAGAAAAAATGCAGCTGGCAAATAAGCACACAAAAAGATGCTCAACATCATACGTCATTAGGGAACTGCAGGTTAAAACAACAGTGAGACACCTCCACATACCTATGAGAATGGCCCAAATCCAAAACACTGACAACGCCAAATGCTGGGGTGGATGTGCAGCAACAGGAAGTCCCATGCATTGCTGGCGGAACTGAAAAATGGTGCAGCCACTTCGGGAGACAGTTTGGCAGTTTGTTACAAGGCTTAATGTACTTTCGCCATACCATCCAGCAACTATCTGCCTCGAGATTTACCTAAATGAGTTGAAAACTTATGTTCGCACCAAAACCTGCACAGGAATGTTTACAGCAGTTTTATTCACTGTCACTAAAAACTGGAAGCAACAAAGATGTCCTTCTGGAGATGAGTGGACAGACAAACTGTGGTCTATCCAGACATCGGAATATTATTCAGCACTAGAAGGAAACGAGCAGGCCAGGGATTGAACTCAAGCAGGCAATCCCAGCACTTTGGGAGGTTGAGGTGGGTGGATAGCTTGAGCCCAGGGATTTGACACCAGCCTGGGCAACATGGTGAAACCCCATTTCCATAAAAAATACAAAAATCAGCCCGGCTGGTGGAGGGAGCTTGTAGTCTCAGCTACTGGAGAGGCCGAGGTGGGAGGATTGCTTCATCCTGGGAGGTGGAAGTTGCAATGAGCTGAGATTGCACCACTGCACTGCAACCTGGGCAACAGAGAGAGACCCAGTGTTAAAAAAAAAAAAAAAAAAAAAAAGCTACAAGCCAGGAAAATCATAGAGGAACCTAAGTGCATATTGCTAAGTGAAAGAAGCCAATCGGTAAAGGCTACACACGGTCTGATTCCAACTCTATGACATTTCAGAAGAGGAAAAACTATGGAGACAGTGAAAGGATCAGTGGTTGCCAGGGGCTGGGGAGGACAGATGAATAGGTGAAGCATAGAACATTTTTAGGGCAGCGAAACTGCCGTGTATGATACTGTAATGGTAGAACAGGACATTATGCATTTGTCAAAACCCATAGGATGTACCACTCGAAGAGCAAACCCTGCTGTAAACGATGAACGTTTGTTAACAGTAATGCATCCTTGCATCATTGATCATCATTTATAATAAATGTGCTGCACAAATGCAAGATGTTGATCATGGTGGCAGTGTGTGTGTGTGTGTGTGCGCGTGCGTGTGTGTGTATGTGTATAACTTCTCTTCCTCGGTGGGGAAGGAAGGGGACCAGGGATCCTTCTGCAGCCCTACGGCTTAAGGGACGGCCTGAAGGTCAGACTCCCTGGATGGGGTCAGGCGCTGGGTGTGGAGCAGGGAAGTGGTTTCTTCCCCAAGTCTCCTGCCAACCCCAAGAGGTAGGACGGGGAGCAGCTGAGATGCTGAGTCATCCCTGCTCCAGCCCTGCCCCTCCCTCCTCTTAGGACTGAGTCACCCCACCCTCAGAGCTGGGGCCACCATGACCCTCAAGAGAAAGGGGGGCTGTGGCACCCTGGGGCTCCAGCCACAGGCAGCTTTAGTTCTGCAAGAGCAGTTGAGGAGGCCAGGGAGGGAATTAGCTTTCTGTCAGCTGACTTTGGACAGGACTGGGGCTGGTGGGGGAAGGGTGGAGGCGGTGAATGACTGGCACAGTTAAAGCAGGGGAAGGGGCTGCCCAGGCACAGGTGGGGGACAGGGGGAGGGGGTGACCAGGCACAGGTGGGGGACAGGTGGAGGGGGTGCCCAGGCACAGGTGGGGGATGGGGGAGGGGGTGCCCAGGCACAGGTGGGGGACAGGGGAGGGGGTGCCCAGGCACAGGTTGGGGAGGGGAAGGGGGTGCTGGGCACACGTGGGGGAGGGGGAGGGGTGCCCAGGTACAGGTTGGGGAGGGGAAGGGGGTGCTGGGCACAGGTTGGGGAGGGGGAGGGGGTGCCCAGGCACAGCTGTCTGGATTCCCTCCAGGTCCAGGACATGGCATCTTTGGGTGTCTTGCTGGGAAGGGACCCAGCTTGGCTGAAGGTGCACTGTGCCTTTAGGATCCCCCCAGTCCCCCACCCCGACCACAGGATGGGGTTATCCACCTCACCCACCCTGGACGCTGCCCCTGACCTTCAGTCTGGCTCTCTGCCCAAGCAGGAGGAGTGGCATGCAGTGCTCACAGTCGCTGGAGGCCTCTGCTGTGTCCTCTTCCAGGAGCCTCAGTCTGGCTCCAGAAATGAGCACCCCTAAGTCCTGAGCTTACTGCGGGGCCCAGTTCTGCACTGGCTGCCTGGGTGTGCGTTTCTGGGCATCCCCTGGGGCTGGACAGGCCTGGGTGCTGTGGAGGAGAGTCAGATGCCAGTTATCAGTTGGGGGGTGAACTGGATGACCTTTTTTTTTTTTGTTTTGTTTTGTTTTTTTGAGACGGAGTCTTGCTCTGTCGCCCAGGCTGGAGTGCACAAGCTCTGCCTCCCGGGTTCCCGCCATTCTCCTGCCTCAGCCTCCCGAGTAGCTGGGACTACAGGCACCCACCACCACGCCTGGCTAATTGTTTTGTATTTTTAGTAGAGATGGGGTTTTACCGTGTTAGCCAGGATGGTCTCGATCTCCTGACCTCATGATCCACTGGCCTCAGCCTCCGAAAGTGCTGGGATGACAGGTGTGGATGACCTTCGAAGCTGCCTCCTGCTCCCCACCTGGGCACATACACTGCTCGGGCACCTGACCTTCCAAGATCACAAATGTGTAACAAGAAAAATCCCAAAAGCTTTAGGGTTCAGCAGTCTCTGAGGGATGCAGTCTCAGGGCACTGATGAAAAGGAGACCAGGGTCCCAGTGGCCCACAACCCCCCTGGATTAGGGGCTCCAGCTCCAAGGATTGAGCCTTGAGCCATGACCTTCCTCCATCACGGCTGCCCTGGGAGAGCCTAGTAGGCACATGGGGGCCTCGGAAGACCCCAGGATCCCACAGGTACGGGTACACCATGGTAGGTGGGAGACCCCAGGAGCCCACAGCTATGGGTGAACCGTGGCAAGCGGAAGACCCCAGGAGTCCACAGGTATGGGCGCACCATGGCAGGAGGCCGCAGAACCCACTGGGCTCTGCACCTGGAATAACTGAATACGTGGCTCACTGTCCCCCAAGCTTGGCTGGGGACTCCTCCTTCATGTTTTAACAAAATCCACTGCACCCCTGGGATGCCGGTGGCTGCCGCACGCTGGGGACAAACAAGACAGATGCAGACCTGCCTTCATGGGGCACAAGGAGCCAAAGCAAGTGCTCAGCCAATAAGAGACGTAGTTCCAGACTGTGGCGTGTGCTGAGGGGAACGCTGGGGCCGGGCTGCCTCAGAGACAGGGAGGAGGTTGGGGTAGCTACAGCAATGACTGAAGGCCTTCCTCAATGACGGACAGGAGCCAGCCTGAGAAGGGAATAAGCTGGAGGGACTGAGAGGCCCCCATGGCTAGGAAGGTGGGAAAGGAGGTGATGCGGTGGGGTCAAAGGGGTGATGGGGGCCCACCAGCCAGGGGGTGCATCTGGCACAGGTGTGGCTCAGCCAGGCTGCAGGGAGGCCCAGGGAGGGAGCTTCCCTGCCCTAGCTCACTGGGGAGACAGGCCTGGCACCCAGGAAGGGACAGGAATGTACATGGACTCCTGTGCAAATTCCTGTGATGAAATTTTCTGTGTCAACTTGGCTGGGCCACAGTATCCAGATATTCGCAAACACTCGTCTAGATGTTTCTGTGAAGGTGTTTTTCAGAGGTGATTCCCGTTCCCATTTAAATGTGTCGACTTTGAGTAGAGCCGATGATGCACCAGGGTATGGTGGGCCTCAGCCAGTCGGTTGAAGGCCCTAAGAGAAAAAAGACTGAGATCCCTGAGGAGGAAGGAATTCTGCCAGCAACACACTGGGGACTCGTGCTGCAGCATCAGCTCTTCCCTGGGTCTCCAGCCTGCCCTGAGATTTCAGACTTGCAGCCTCCATAATTACACAGACTAACTTTAGAAAATAAATCCCTCTCTCTCCGCCTGTATACATATCACACCCCATTGGTTCTGTCTCTTTGGAGGGCCCCAGCCAGTACAGATGAGCTCGGGGAAGGCATCCCCAAGGGAAGGGTCCCGCCCTGCAGGGGTCTGAAAACCAGGCAGCCATGCTGGACAGGCCCATGGTGCTGGCCTAGCCAGGTGTGTGAAGGGGTGGGCCTCCGGCAGGGAGGCAGCTGAAATGTCTGGTCTGCAGGCTTTGGAGGGAGGGCAGGTGAAGGTTGAGCCCAAGCAATGGTCAAGTAGGAAAGGACAGAGAAATGATTGGCCTGAGCGTAGGGTGGTGATTCACCTGCAGTGTGGCCAGGGGCTCCGGGGTCCTCTGGGCTCGAGAAGGTGAGCTAAGATTGCAGCATTAAGGATGGGACAAAGAGCAGACAACAGATACTAAGGAGAGGAGGATGGAGAGGGGGATGGAGAGGGGGATGCAGAGGTGGATGGAGAGGGTATGGAGAGGGGGATGGAGAGGTGATGGAGAGGGGGATGGAGAGGGGGATGGAGAGGGGATGAAGAGGTGGATGGAGAGGGGATGGAGAGGTGGATGGAGAGGAGATGGAGAGGGAATGGAGAGGGGTTGGAGAGGGGATGGAGAGGTGGATGGAGAGGAGATGGAGAGGGGATGGAGAGGGGATGGAGAGGTGGATGGAGAGGAGATGGAGAGGAGATGGAGAGGGAATGGAGAGGGGTTGGAGAGGGGGAAGGAGAGGGGGATGGAGAGAGGGGGAAGGCAGCATTTACTTCTTCCCCTCTGCTTTTCCTAGAAATAAGGATGGCAGCCAGGTTCCAGCACAAGTCCCACAGGAGCAGAGCTGCCCACATACTGGGTGGCTAAAACAACACATAGTCATTCTCTCATAATTCTGGAGGCAGACTCAGTGTCACTGGGCTGAAGTCGAGGTGTCAGCAGGGCTGGTTCCTTCTGGAGGCTCCAAGGGCAAACCTGTTCCTTGGCTTTGCCCATTTCTAGAGGCTGCCTTGGCTGGGCCTTGGCTGGGCCCTACCTACGTCTTCAAAGCCAGCACCCTAATCTGCTTCCATCTTCTCATCACCTTCTCTGCCTCCTCTCCTGCCTTTCCCTCCAAAGGACCCCTGTGATGACCGGGGGCCCACCCTGATAATCTAGGATAATCTCCCGTCTCGAGACCTGTTGAGTCACATCCTCAAAGTCCCCTTGTCCTGGTAAGGCCACATCTTACCGATGTCAGGGATGAGGATGTCAACGTCTCTGCAGGAGGTGTTATTTTACCCACAACGCTGCCATTTGTTGAAATGGAGAATGTTGGGTGAGGAAGAGGGATTCAATTTGGGGCCGAGAGAGTGTGCAGTGCCCATGGACTGAACTCACAAGTGGAGGTGTCCCCTGGACCTGCAGGGTGAGGCCAGAAGCAAGGCTGGTGGAGTTCAGACGGAGCTCTGGAAGGGACCAGCTGGTGGTGGCATCTGTGTGAAAACAAGGGCAAGCCAGAGGAGTAAGGGCAGGGGGAGGGGCCTGAATCCTGAAGCCCCCTACTCCAGAACTGGAGTGTCTGGCGATGAAGCTTGGGGCAGAGAGGGATACACTGAGAGAGGCTGAGTTGAGGAGCTGGGGTGGGCTGGGTGGGAGGAGTCATTAGGGACTGAGCTGGTGGGAGGGGACCATCAGGGCTGAGTTAGGTAGGATTGGGACCACAGGGGGCTGAGCTGGTGGGATGGGACCATGGAAGGCTGAGCTGGTGGGTGGGGCCTTTGGGGGCTGAGCTGAGTGGGACTGGATCATGGGGGCTGAGTTGGTGGGATGGGACCACGGGGGGCTGAGCTGGTGAGATGGGGCCACTGGGGACTGAGCTGAGTGGAATTGGATCATGGGGGCTGAGCTGGTGGGATGGGACCACGGGGGGCTGAGCTGGTGAGATGGGGCCATTGGGGGCTGAGTTGGGTGAGATGGGACCACAGGGGACTGAGCTGGTGGGATGGGACCACAGGGGGCTGAGCTGGTGGGATGGGGCCATCGGGGACTGAGCTGAGTGAGACTGGATCATGGGGGCTGAGCTGGTGGGATGGAGCCATCAGGGTGATTTGGGGCCGATGGGGCCTCTGGTGTTGGGTTGGGTGGGATGGGCTGCTCGGTTTAGCTAGGGCGGTCCTGGTGGTTGATGGTTCTGCCCCAGTTCACACAGACTGGGTTGGCCGGAGATGCTTGTTTCTGGTGTTGGGCTTGTGAGTGTCAGGAAGAGTTGGGCAATGCCTGTGGCTTTCCCCTAGGGGCTCTTAGGACATCTGAATGTCCCACAGAACAGAGGCATGACTTGTGCCTCAGTAGCTGGAGGGTGTTGGAGCAAGGTGCCCTCTCCTGGCCCCAGGGGCCTCAGGCACTGTCCAAACATCTTCTCTCACCTCCACCCCCAGATGTGGCCAGTGACCACCCTCTAGCCTCACACTAAAGGGGCCCTGACTTCCCCACCCAGAAGGGGCCCAGGCCATCCTGCCTCCAAGCCTCTTCAGTCCACCCCGAGAAGTCCTTGCAGCAGAGCCACAGGGAGTGGGAAGGGCCACCATATCCCTGCCCCGCGTCTCGGTGCAGCCCCCAGGGTAGGGCCACCCTGACCCCGTCGTGAACTCATTGTCGGGGTGCGAAGGGAGGGGAGAGCCAGAGCTCCATGGAGCCTGGGCATGGGCTCTTCCTCTCTCCTGGGAGAACCTGTTCTGCTGTGGGCTGATCTGGTCCCAGTCGAGGAAAAGGCCTTATCACCCTCCTGCAGCCCTCGCCTGCCTCCCACCCACAGCCAAAAGGCCTGTTCCCCAGGGTGGGACGGTGGTGGCGGTCAACACTCACCCATTCTCGGGATGCCAGCTCCTCTGTGGTACCCTGCCCCTCCCAGGCAGCTGGACAAACGGGTCTGGGGCTGTGACACCCCCTCTCTTTGGAGCAGTGACTCACATGGGCAGGGAGTGGTGGGCGGGGACAGGTGGCCCCTCTGCTCTGTGAACAATGCCCTGATTCTTCCAGCCTGCATGGGGGTCCTGAGCTGGGGGCAGGGCCCTGCCCAGAGGCAGATGCTGAGGCCTCCCCTTCCAGTCCTGGAGGGACCCCAAGCCTCACAGTGGGTGCTGTGGATACAGAGCCCTCGTCCCTTGAGTCACCCGGCATGATACCCCGCATCTCCCTGCATCATGCTAGCAGGAAGCACGGCTCTGTGACACACAGAAGACCCCAGGTGTGTGACTTCACGTGGGTTACTCACCTGTCTGAGCCTTAGTCTCCAATCTGTAAAATGGGATGGTGACGTCCGTCCTCAACCTGCCCCTCTGTTGGCTCTGGACCACTTGGCAGCCACACACGGAAGCCCAGGGCTCTTTGCCCCTCGGGCCATGGAGGACACACAGGTCCTGGGAGAAGCCTGGGAACCAGGCCAGGGAGCTCCTGCAAGGCAGGGAGGACGACTTCCAAGGGGAGGCCAGCCAGAGGGTGGGGAGCCTACTGGGGGAGGCAGGGCCTCGGGGGAAGGGCACCCAGGCAGGGGCCCCCAACACAAGCAGGGGCAGGGAGGCCAGCACGCCGTCCTGCTGGCTTGGTCAGACCGAGGGTGCACAGGTGGAGGTGAACTGCAGCCCTGGAGGCTGAACAGGGAGGTCAAGGGAGGCTGGAAGAGCCTTGAATGCCATGGTAAGTGCATCTGAGTCTGTTCACAGGCGATCGGGTGGGTGCTGCTGGGAGTGTTGGCAAGGAGGCTCCTCTCTCTGGGTCCCACAGGGGACACGCTATAGCCCCTCACTCGCTCACCCCACTGAGTCTGCAGGGACTGCGCCCCTGTCTGGGCAACAGTTAACACAGGAGAGTGCAAGCTGGGCAGAGGGAAAGGGGGTTCTCGGGGTCCATGGCTCCCCCTGCTCCTTGTGCGCATAGGCTGAGTCCTCTTGGGAGGACCAGGGCCGGGCAGGAGGCAGCCCTCCCCGTGGCTCTGCACCGTGCTCCCAAAGTCTCCACAGAGACCTCCCAGCAGGGTCCTGTCTGCAGAGTGCAGGCCCTTGCCTGCCCCGGGGACGGAGCTGCCACAGCAGGGAGATGAGGCCCCCCCTTTCTTGGTCCATTTGCTGCTCCATTTGCCAAGGGTTTGTGTCGCACGTTCTGTGGCCAGACGTGATGTGGATGCTGTGACGAGCAGAACAGACAGAAATCCCTGCCCTCCAGGAGCGAATAGTAGGGGATGGGGGACATGGGGGACATAGTAACAAACACAGGGGTGGTGACTGGAAGAGCAGTAAAGGGGAAGGGTGGGGCCACTGCTGGGGATGCCTGGGGTCCGGGTAAGGACGCAGAGGCAGGGAGGAAGCCAGCCTCCTGCCCAGCGGGCACAAATGCCCCAGGCCAGGGGTGCAGGTGGGCAGGCACTGGAGTGCACAGAGGAGGGAACTGGACCCTGCGGGCTGCACCCTGAGTGTCCTGTGGGGCACCTGCAGGGCTGAGAACAGGAGGGTGAGGACCACCTCAGCAGGCTCTCAGGGCCACTGGCGCTCGTTGAGAGAGGAGTGTGATGGGGCGCGGGAGAAGCAGAGGAGGAAGATGCGGTGGCTGTGTGGGGTGTGGTGGCCAACAAGGCAGGGTGAGGTGGCAGATTTTGCTGGTGGGCTGGATGGGCGGACGGTGGTGATCGGGGGACGTCTCCTAGAAGGGGAGGCTGAGAAAGAGACTGTCTGAAGGGGGCGGTCAGAACTGCCAGGGGTGACTTGCTGCTAGGCCTCAAGTGTGTGGCTGACGGGCAGCGGGATGCAGGTCTGAGGGTGTGAGGAGCGCCCTGGCCGAGATGCACATGGAATCCCTTGGCCCAAGAGGATTTCCAGCCTGGAGGTGGCAGGAAATCGTAAGGGGTCAGGGTGGACACAGGGCAGCAAGGAAAAGCTGGGGAGGGGACAAAGCCGGAGATGGAGCAGCCAGCGGGGAAAGGGGGATTCCTGTGGAGGTCCCGGGGCCAAGCATGGGAGCATGGGAAGGGCTCCCAGAAGCGACCGGGAGACTCGTCCGTGCTCTGATGCCCCAGATACGGCCATGTGCAGCCCTCAGGACCTTGCTGGGGCAGCTCTGAGTGGCTCAGGTTTGAAGGAGGTGGAGAGGAGGTGCCGGGAGCTGGTGTCTGAGGCTGACTCTCTCGGCGGGGCAGGCAAGCGACGGGGTGGCCAGGATGCGCTAGGATGCGCTCGAAGCTGCTGGAAGGATCTGGCAGCGGGAGGCGTAATCCCTGCAGGTGAGAGGGTGGCAGCTGTGATGCTGGGAAAGGTGTTCCCTAATCCAGTGGGGTGCAACAGAGTCAGCACCAGGAGGCAGAGGCGAGGCTGTGGAGGCCACTGAGGGCGTCTGCAGCATCCCTGGACCCTGACCCCAGACCCCTGGCCTGCAAGAGAAACCCCCGGGAAAGTTCACTCCCTCCCCAAGTGTCATGCACCAGCGACCGCTGAGGCCCAAGTCCAGGTGACCTCCGAGCACATGGTGTGAGGCCCTTCCTGTGGTCTGCAGCCCAGCCAGTGACTTCCTTCCCCTTCTGAATGTGGCTCCCACGGCCCTGTGCTGGGGTTGTCATGTGAGGCTGGCCTGAAGTCACAGCACCATGCCGCTTCCCCAGCTCTGCAGCCTCTCACCGTGGTCCAGGCAGCCCCTCTTCTCTGCCACAGCCGTCCATCCTGCACACACAGCCTGTGCCTCTCAGCTGGACGGCGGCTCTTCCACGCCCTTTGGCAGAGGCCCCACCCATCGGTGCACCTGCCTGGCCTCTGTTGTAGGTTCTGCCCACACAGGCAGTGCCCTCCTGCCTCCTGGGCCTGGCTGAGCCTGTCCTTCCACTGCTGAGATCATGACAAGGGGCGTCCACCCTCAGCCAGGACGGACCTCTCATCCTAGGGTGCAGACAACACATGGGAGCCCCGTCACAGCTGTTTCACCGCTGGGAGCTGTTACCTCCCAGGGGGCTGTGAGCTGCCCAGGTCCTGAGGGGGTGAGACTGTAGCTGAGGACTCAGGAGGCCAGGGCACTGGAGCTGGGAGGGTGACATTACAGAGCCCAGAGTGTCCATGTGGAGACCGAGGTGAGGTTCCAATGCGGTCCCAGCAGCAAGGAGGGAGAAGATGCCGGGAAGGCAGTGGCCCCGAAGGGTCACCTGCAGATGGCAGCCACCAGCCCCTCACCAGTGCAGTTGGCTCCATGCCCCCAAGCCCTTTCTTACTCGCTGCCTTGTCTCATCCCCCCAGGCCCCGGGGAGCAGGCAGGGCCTTGATCCCTTGCCCCAGATGATAAAACCCTGACGCTGACAGAGGAGGTTGCACAAGGGACAGTGCAGCACCTCCTGATCTTGCTTTTTTGCTGCCTTTGCAGTTTGGCAAAAGTCACATCCCTGTTGGGGTGATGGGCAGTGTCCCCGCTGTTCTCCCACAGTCGTGTGTCCTCCTCCCCTGTGCCCCAGACATAGCCCCAGTGAACACAGCGCTCGGGTCCCCACCCCACACTCCCCCATGGGCTGGATGCCCTTCTAGCCAGCAGGCCCCTCGCCACAGCGGCTCACACTCCGGACAGGGATGCCCCTCCTGAGCTGCTGTGTCCTCATCTGGGGAAACCCCAGCGCCCCAGGGGTGCCAGCCACACACCACTGCCTACCCTGAAAGAGAAGGTGCTTACCGCAACACCCAGCAAAGCAGGATTGTCTCTGGACCTCTGTGGGTCTGGCCTGCGGCGAGTGGAGCCAGGCCCCTCACCTCACCAGGGAGCAGGGCAGGAGCCCCCCTTCACCCCATCCTCCTGTCTCTGGACCCCTCAATAGTACCCAGCCTCTGCCCACGGCCCCTCCATGTCTTTCCCTGCCCCTTCCTGCTACCCAATCCTGTGTTCTTTTGCTGGGCTGAAAAGGGTCCCTGAAGATGTCTGCGTTCTAATCACCAGGACCTACATGACAAAGGGGCCTCCAGATGTGGTTAAGTCAAGGCACATGGGATGGGAGATTGTTCTGGAATGTCTGGACAGGCTCAGGGCAATCACAAGCATCAGGATAGGAGCGGGGTGGGGTCAGAGCCACAGGAGACCAGAAGATGCCACTGCTGGACTTGAAGGCAGAGGAGGGGACGGTGAGCCAGAGAATGCTGGCAGCCTCCAGGAATGAGAGGTACAGGGAGAGACAGATTTGCTCTTAGGGGCTCCAGAAGGGAGACGCCCTGCAGGCATCTTGATATTAGCTCCGTGAAAACCGCGTGGGACTTGCGACCTCCCAAACTGCAAGATGATAGATTTGCGTTGTTTTAAGCCACTGTGTTTGTGGTAATCTGCCACAGCAGTTAATCAGTCAGAGACTAATACAGGCCTTGTGCCGGGTGACCAGCTGACCTTTGTAAAACCGAAAGTCCTGCAGTCTGGGCACCTCTCAAGCCCAGGAACCGCAGTCAGTCCACGCGTGCAACTCCAGGTGGGCCGGGGCCGCAGTCACTCCACCTGTTCCACTCTTTGTTCCTCTCCTGCCTTAAGCCCCGACTCACTCACGGTCCTCCCCGAGTATCCACCCCATCGCCTGGCAGAACGTCGCGCGGAGAGTGCTGAAGATGGAGCATCCGCTCCACCTTTGACAGAGACAGAAACTTGATCCCACTTCACAGGCAAGAAGACAGAGGCAGGGCAGGTCCAGCAGCCATGAAGTCACAGAGTCAGGATTTTCATCCTGGAGCCTGGTGCTCAAGCCAGAGCTCCCACCCATCCCAAGTGACATGGTGGGCAGGTGTCTCCCCTCCCAGCCTAGGGCCCCCAGCCTGCTCTGGCCCTCGGCCCCCACAGCCCCCATCCCTGGCTGGGCCCTGGTGGTCGCTCAGCTCGCCCAGGCCCCTCTGGCTTCTGTTCTTATCCTCCTTAACTTGGTCACTAAGCAGAGCCCCCAGGTCGAGACGTAGGAGTCCTTGGCCCAGGGCCCAGCCCCACCCGCCCTCCACTGCGGAGGAGGGAACCAAGGTGCCCAGCAGGCATCTCCACAGAGGTTCCACCACCACCCCGCTGTCTGGGGGACGAGATGAGAGTGACCCGTCTCTCCCTTCCCAGCCGCTGGTGAGAGCAGAACTGGGGCTGGTGGCTCTGGTGGCTCCCCCACAGCACCCCACACTCAGGCTGCCTGGCACATCCCTGTCTGAGGCGGGCAACGCAGCCAGAAGCAGCCTCAGCGGTTTCATCCCTGGGCCCAGAGACACAAGCAGCGTCCACCAGGGCCTGAGGGTGGCCCAGCGTCCTGTGCTGCAGGTTCTTGCTGGCCCCACCCATGCTCCACCCCAAATGAACCCCAATTCTCCCAGCTGACCCTCGCTGCCTACCCTGCTCAGGACCTGTCCCCTCGAACGCTGTCCCTCCTCCCCACCCACATCCGCTCCTGCCACCTTCTGTGCATCACAGTCGGCCGCCCAGGGTCAGCAGGGTCCTCCTGGTCCCCAACTCCGATGGGTCCACGGCAGAGTCATACCTGGACTTAGTGACGGACTCAGCTAGCTCTCGGAGGTTCGTTCAGAAAAGCAGTGGGTGGATTTGCTTAGAGCTGCCTGAACAGAGACCACAGACTGTGCAGGTTAAACAACAGACAACGATATTTTTTCGTATTCTGGAGGCTGGAGTCTGAGATCAAGGTGTGGGCAGGGCTGGCTCCTCCTGGGGCCTCCTTCTCGCTGTGTCCCCACAGGGCCACCCCTCTGTGTGTGTCTCTGTCCTAATTTCCACTTTTTACAAGGACACCAGGCCTATAGGATTAGGCCCATCCTGAAGACCTCATTTTAACTTACTCATCTCTGTAAAGACCCATCTCCAAATAAAGCCATGTTCTGAGGTCCTGGGGATCAGGGCTTCAACACATTAATTTTAGGGGACACGACTGAACCCCTAACAGGACCTCAGCACCCTCTGCCCGGCTTCCATGCCCACCTCCTGAGGTGCCCGGGCCTTGCAGCAGATTCTCCCTGCACTCACCTGCACCCGGCAGGAGGACCGGCACCTGCACCCCGGCAGGAGGACTGGCACCTGCTCTGTGTTGTTTCCATTGCAGACAGTGATTCAATTCCCTTCTCACCCCAAACACCACACCTCCCCAGCCCCTATTCTCCCAGACCCCTTCTCCTGGCAGGTGCCCACCTGGGCCCGCCTTTCCTCTCTCCTCTGCAGGGCTGGGGCCCTTACAGTTTGCTCACCATGGTGCAGGCAGCGGAGGCTCTTGTTTAAAGGCTCATCTGACCCCGTTCCTCGACCCCAGGACTCTGTGATTTCCAGAGCACTTGGCTATAGGAACAGAGTTCTGGAGCCCAAGGTCCCCTGTGGTCTTGGTCCCCTGCTGACCTTGGTGGCCCCCGCTCACCCCAGGAACTCTTCCCCATGTGGCCTCTGCCCAGCTCGCTGTCTACGGACACCTCCTCCCAGCGCACTGACCGGTACTGTCCCGCAGATCCGGCCCCAGATGCTGCTCCCAGAGAAGCCTCCCAGCCCCTCAATGAGGCTGGGTCTCCCCGTAGCCCAAATCAACATCTGACACCTTTCTTTTGAACCATCTGACCCCATTTTTACTGTTGCTAGCTTATGAACATTCACATGGTTAAAACTGTTTTTTTACCTTTTTTTGTTTTTTGGAGACAGGGTCTCACTGTATCGCCCAGGGTGGAGTGCAGTGGTGCGATCACAGTTCATGGCAGCCTTAACCTCCTGGGCTCAAGTGATCCTCCCATCTCAGCCTCCCGAGCAGCTGGGATCACAGACATGCACCACCACACTCGGCTAATTTTTAAATGTTTTGTACGGACGGGGTCTCACCGTGTTGTCTAGGTTGGTCTCAAGCAATTCTCCTGCCTCGGCCTCCCGAAGTGCTAAGATTATAGGTGTAAAAGCCACAGCACTGAGCCTTTTTATCATTTTATTTGAAGTATAACGGAACGCTTAGACCTCGGGGGTTCCATCTGATTATAATGGAGTTGAAAAGTTTCTATCGCCTAGTGATGTCGTAGGCCTCATAAGGCTGTAGCACAACGAGCTACCTTCTCTGTGTTGAGATATGCAAATGCTTACCATTGTGTTCCAGATGCCTGCCGTATTCAGCTCAGCACCCAGTTGTGCAGGCCTGCCACCTAGGAGCAGTAGGCTCAACCGTGCAGCCTGGGTGTGTGACAGGCCACAGCATCTGGGTTTGTGTAAGTGCACTCTGCAGTGTTCACACAACCATGAAATTGCCTCAGGACTCATTTTCCCGTGGTTTCCCGGCGAATGACTGGATAACGGATGGACAGCCAACTGCATGTACCTGAAGCGTGCGACTCGGCCGGTTTCGAGACCTGTGAGCGCTGACGGAAGCGTCTCCGTGGTCGAGATCACGAACTTCCCTCCACAGCCTCCGCTGTGACCCGTTGACCACCCCTCCCTGTTCCCCCCTCCTCCCCACCCCCATCCCTGTTCCTAGACAGCCACTGTTCTGCTTTTTGTAGACGAGTTTCCATTTCTAGAACGTTGTATAGATGAGGTCAGCCGGCACGTGCTTATTTTTTCCTGGTTTCTTTCACTCGGCATAATTATTTTGAGAGGTAACCGTGTCACCGCATGTATCAATGTGTTTGGCATAATTATTTTGAGATGTATTCGTGTCATGCACGTGTCAATGCGTTCACTTTCTTCCGGCTACTGTCACAAATTGCCACACACTGAGTGGCTTAAAACAACACAAATCTATTAACCTTACAATTCTGGAGGCCAGAATTCTGAAATGGGTCCCACTAGGCCAAAATGAAGGTGTCAACAGGAATGACTGTGCTTTCTCTGGAGGCTCACATGGAAAATCCACGTCCCTGCCCCTCCGGCTCCCAAAGCTGCCTTCGTTCCTTGGCTGGCGGCCCTCCTCCATCTTCAAAGCCAGCGTTGACCAGGCTAGCCCTTCCCACATCCCGGCACTCTGACCTCCTCTTCCGCCTCCTTCTTCCGTTTTTAAGCATCTTGTGATCTCATTGCTGACTCAGATAATCCAGGATAATCTCCCTATTTAAGGCCAGCTGCTAAGCAACCTTAATTCCATCTGCAACCTCAATTCCCCTTCAGCATAAACCTAATGTATTCCCAACTTCCCGGGATTAGGGCATGAACATCTTTTGGGAGACCATTGTTCTGCCTATCACAGTCAATAGCCCCTCAATCATTATTGCAGAATAGTTTTCCATCATAGGCACAATCTGTTTCTCTATCTAACTGTTCACGGCGTTTTGGGAGGATTCCAGTTTTTGGCGATTACAAGTGAAGCTGCTGGGAACATGCCCATACAAGTCTGTGTTGACACCTGCTCTTGCTTCTTCTGTGTAAATATCTAGGAGGGGGATTGTTGGGTTGCATGGAAGACATGTGGACTTTTTTTTTTTTGAGATGGAGTCTCATTCTGTCACCCAGGCTAGAGTGCAATGGTGCGATCTTGGCTCACTGCAACCTCTGCCTCCTGAGTTCAAGCGATTATCCTGCCTCAGCCTCCCAAGTAGCTGGGATTAAGGCACCCACCACCATGCCTGGCTAATTTTTGTATTTTAGTAGAGATGGGGTTTCACCATATTGGCCAGGCTAGTCTTGAACTCCTGACCTCACATGATCCGCCCACCTTGGCCTCCCAAAGTGCTAGGATTACAGGTGTGAGTCACCACACCCAGAGCTAATTTTGTATTTTTAGTAGCGATGGGGTTTCGCCATGTTGGCCAGACTAGTCTAGAACTCCTGACCTCAGGTGATCCACCTGCCTTGGCCTCCCAAAGTGCTGGGATTACAGGCATGAGCCACTGTGCCCAGCCTTTTTTTTTTTTTCTTTAATAGTTTTTTTTTTTTTTTTTTTTTTTTTTTTGAGATGGAGTCTTGCTCTGTCGCCCAGGCTGGAGTGCACCGGCGCAATCTCTGCTCCCTGCAAGCTCCGCCTCCCGGGTTCACGCCGTTCTCCTGCCTCAGCCTCCCGAGTAGCTGGGACTACAGCCGCCCGCCACCACGCCCGGCTAATTTTTGTATTTTTAGTAGAGACGGGGTTTCACCATGTTCGCCAGGATGGTCTCGATCTCCTGACCTCGTGATCCACCCGCCTCGGCCTCCCAAAGTGCTGGGATTACAGGCGTGAGCCACCACGACCAGCCTAATAGTGTTTTTTATGTTGTGTTTAATAAATCTTTGCTAAACTCAAGATCAGTAAGATTTTCACCCATGTTTTCTGTTAGAAGTGTTACATACAGCTTTATCTCTTCCAATAAGGCCTGTTTTTGAGTTAGCTTTTGTATATCATGTGAGGTAAGGATTGGAGTTCATTGTTATGGCTATCCAGTTGTTCCAACATCATTTGTTGAAAAGCCTTTTCTTTATTTAATTGCCTTGGCAATTTGGTTGAATTCAGTTGTCCATATGCCTGTGGATCTATTTCTGGGCATTCTATTCTGACCCATTTATCTATTTGTGTGTCTTTATACCAGCACTGTACAGCCTTGATTATTATTTATTTATTTATTTTTTGAGGCAAAGTCTCGCTCTGTCACCCAGGCTGGAGTGCAGTGGCCCCATCTCAGCTGACTGTAAACTCCGCCTCCCAGTTTCAAGCGGTTCCCCTGCCTCAGCCTCCTGAGTAGCTGGGATTACACCTGCACACCACCACACCTGGCTAATTTTTGTATTTTTATTAGAGACAGGGTTTCACTATGTTGGCCAGGCTGGTCTTGAGTTCCTGACCTCAGGTGATCCACCCGCCTTGGCCTCCCAAAGTGCTGGGATTACAGGTGTGAGCCACGGCACCTGGCCTGATTTTAGTTATTTTAGATCCTTTGTATTTTGATACACATTTTAAAATCAGCTTGTTCATGCTGGGTGCGGTGGTTCATGCCTGTAATCCCAGCACTTTGGGAGGCCGAGGCGGGCGGATCACAAGGTCAGGAGATGGACACCATCCTGGCTAACACGGTGAAACCCCGTTTCTACTAAAAATACAAAAAAATTAGTCGACCATGGTGGTGGGTGCCTGTACTATAGTCCCATCGACTCGGGAGGCTGAGGCAGGAGAATGGCGTGAACCCGGGAGGTGGAGTTTGCAGTGAGCCGAGATCGCACCACTCACTCCAGCCTGGATGACAGAGCCAGACTCCGTCTCAAAAATAAATAAATAAATAAATAAATAAAATAAAATCAGCTTGTCCATTTCTTTTTTTTTTTTTTTTTTTTTGAGACGGAGTCTTGCTCTGTCGCCCAGGCTGGAGTGCAGTGGCCGGATCTTGGCTCACTGCAAGCTCCGCCTCCCGGGTTTACGCCATTCTCCTGCCTCAGGCTCCCGAGTAGCTGGGACTACAGGCGCCCGCCACCTCGCCCGGCTAGTTTTTTGTATTTTTTTAGTAGAGACAGGGTTTCACCGTGTTAGCCAGGATGGTCTCGATCTCCTGACCTCGTGATCCGCCCGTCTCGGCCTCCCAAAGTGCTGGGATTACAGGCTTGAGCCACCGCGCCCGGCCTGTCCATTTCTCAAAAAAAAAAAAATTGTCTTGAGATTTGGATTGGGTTGATCCTATAGATCAATTTGGGAACAACGGACATGTTGACAATATTGATTCTATCCATGAACACTGTGTATCTCTCCATTTTCTTAGTATTCTACTTTTGCTATTTAGAGTGTCAGAGTACAGATCTTGGACATGTTTGTCATTTTTATCCTGAAATATCTATTTTCAATTTTCTTCTAAATGGCCGTTTTAAACATCAATTTCGGGCTGGGCACAGTGGCTCATGCCTGTAATCCCAGCACTTTGGGAAGTCAAGGCAGGCCGAGCACCTGAGGTCAAGAGTTCAAGACCAGCCTGGCCAATGTGGTGAAACCCCTCCCTACTAAAAATAAAAAAATTAGCTGGGCGTGGTAGAGCACACCCGTAATCCCTGCTACTAAGGGGGCTGAGGCAGGAGAATTGCTGGAGCCCGGGTGGTGGAGCTTGCAGTGAGCAGAGATTATACCACTGCACTGCCTTGGCCTCCCAAAGTGCTGGGATTACAGGCATGAGCCACTGTGCCCAGCCTGAAATTGATGTTTAAAATGGCCATTTAGAAGAAAATTGAAAATAGATACTTCAGGATAAATTTGACAAGACTCCTTCTCAAAAAATAAATAAATAAATAAAAAATCAACTTCAAATGGTCGTTGCTGTTATACAGAAATACAGTTGATATCCATCCATTGACCTATCCTACAACCGTGCAAACTAATTTATCAGTTTTAGTAACTTTCTCATAGATTGTGTAGGTTTTTCTTCAAAGATGATCATGTCTTTCAAAACTAAAGACACTTGTGCTTCCTTTTCAATCGGGATTAATTTTTGTTTTCTTTGCACTGGCTAAACCCCAGTGAATGTTGAATGGAAGCTGTGAGAGCAGGACATTCTTGTCTTGTTCGTGATCATAGGAGAAAAACATTCAGTTTTCTCCATTAAGGATGATGCTCGCTGTAGGGTTTTCTGTACTTTTATTTTTTTAAATCAGGTTGAGGAAATTTCCTTTTCTTCTCTGTTTGCTAGGAGTTTTGATCAGGAATGGATACTGGATTTTGTGAAAAACTTTTTCTGAACCTGTGGAGATGTTCACAGGCATTTTCTTTTTCAGTCTGTTAATACGGTGAATTAAATTCGTTGAGTTTTAAAACATGATAAAATAACCTGGCATCCCCAGGATAAATCCCACTTGGTCATGAGTATTATCCTTTTTCCATATTTTGGAGTTTGATTTGCTAAACATATGCCTATTTCCCATCTGTCGATCCTCTCTGGGGGTGGAGGACATCTGCTCCTACCTTTTGCACTGTCTTAAATGGTTTTTTAAAGTTACTGAATTTTAAGCGTTCTTCGTATATTTTGGATTCAAGGTCGTTATCAGACGTGTGTTTGACCAAAATGTTCTCCCAGTCGGTGCCTCGTGACTCCATTCTCTTAGCAGTGTCTTTTACGCTGCAGAAGTTCTTAATTTTAATAAGTCCAACTTACTACATTTTTTTTTCGTGGGCCATAATTTTGGTGCTGTATCTAAAAATTTCCTCATCAGCTGGGCATGGTGGTGCATGCCTGTGGTCCTAGCTGCTCGGGAGACTGAGGTGGGAGGATCACTTAAGCTCAGGAGGTTGAGGCTGCAGTGAGCTACCGTCACACCACTGCATTCCAGCCTGGGCCACAGGGCGAAACTGGATCTTAAAATGAAACAAAACAAGGAAAGTCATCACCAAACCCAGAGTCAACTAAACTTTATCCTGTGTTATCTTCTAGGAGCTTTATAGTTCTGCTACGCTTTTAGGTCCATAATCCATTTTAAGCTAATTTTTGTGAAGGGAGTAAGGTCTATGCCTAGGTTCTTTTGTTCTCCCCATACGTCCAGGTGTTCCAGCACCATTTGTTGAAATGATTTTTTTTTTTTTTTTTTTTTTTTTTTGAGATGGAGTCTCGCTCTGTCGCCCAGGCTGGAGTGCAGTGGCCGGATCTCAGCTCCCTGCAAGCTCCGCCTCCCGGGTTCCCACCATTCTCCTGCCTCAGCCTCCCGAGTAGCTGGGACTACAGGCGCCCGCCATCTCGCCCGGCTAGTTTTTTGTATTTTTTAGTAGAGACGGGGTTTCACCGTGTTAGCCAGGATGGTCTCGATCTCCTGACCTCGTGATCCGCCCGCCTCAGCCTCCCAAAGTGCTGGGATTACAGGCTTGAGCCACCGTGCCCGGCCAAAATGATTTTCTTTTGTCTGTCGAATTGCCTTTACTTCTGTGTCAAATATCAGTGGATTATTATATTTATATGAGCCTGTTACCTCTGTGCTTTCTATTCTGCCCATTGGTCTATTTTTCTGTTCTTTTGCCGATAACACACTGTCTTCGTTACCGTAGCTTTGTCGTACATCTTGAGGTCGTGGAGGCTCAGTCCTCCAACTTTGTTCTTCTTCAATACTGCGTTGGATATTCTGGATCTTTTGCCTTTTTATATAAACTTTAGGATCTGGCTGGGCACAGTCTGGCACTTTATGCATTGCATAGGACCTTTACAACTGTGTATTTCTACTTGCCCCTCCCCAGACTCTGTGTTCTTGTTGCCATACTTTTCACTTATTTCATGTTATAAGCTTCAAATTATGACCAGGTACAGTGGTTCACACCTGTAATACCAGCACTTAGGGAAGCCAAGGCGGGTGGATTACTTGATGCCAGGAGTTCATGACCAGCCTGGGAAACCTGGTGAAATCCTGTCTCTACTAAAAATACAAAAATTAACTGACCATGGTGGTACACACCTGTAATCCCAGCTACTTGGGAGGCTGAGGCAGGAGAATCACTTGAACCTGGGAGGCGGAGGTTGCAGTGAGTGGAGATCATGCCACTACACTCCAGTCTGGGCAACAGAGTGAGACTCTGACTCAAAAAAACACAAAAGCTTCACATTACATTCTTATTATTTTTGTTTTAAACAGTCAGTTATCTTTTTAAAAGATTTGAAAAATCTCTTTTCCTTGCCAGTAGCGCTCACGTAAACATGGTGAACGTCCCTAAAACCCGTCGGACGTTCTGTAAGAAGTATGACAAGCACCAGCCCCACAAAGTGACCCAGTACAAGAAGGGCAAGGATTCTCTGTATGCCCCAGGAAAGCGGCGTTATGACAGGAAGCAGAGTGGCTATGGTGGGCACACTAAGCTGATTTTCTGGAAAAAGGCTAAAACTACAAAGAAGATTGTGCTAAGGCTTGAGTGTGTTGAGCCCAACTGCAGATCTGAGAGAATGCTGGCTACTAAAAGATGCAAGCATTTTGAACTGGGAGGAGATAAGACGAGAAAGGGCCAAGTGATCCAATTCTAAATGTCATCTTTTATTATGAAAACAGTAAAATCTTGAGTTTATGTTCACTTCAAAAAAAAAGAAAAAAGAAAAAAGGAAAAATCTACCATTTCTGGTATTTGTCATCGCTTTGCGTAGATCAACTTCCATCTAGTGTAATTTTTCTTCTGCTTGATGGATGTCCTTTAATAATTTTTTTTGTGTGTCTGTCTGCCAGTTATGAAAATTTTTAGCTGAAAAAAAAAGATGTTTATTTTACCTTCAAGAAATTTTTTCTGGATATAAAAATTCAAGTTGACAGTTTTTTTTTAATTTTCTTCCAGAACTTTAAAGCTGTTGCTTTACTGTATTCTAAATTGTGTTTCTCCTGGTGAGATGCCTGCTGTCATTCTCATTTGGTTTCTCTGTATGTGATGTATCCTTTTTCTACAGATGCTTCTTTCAAAATATTTCCTTTGGCACAGATTGCTGGGTTTAAGCAATTTAATCATGATGTGCCCGCCTGTCATTTATTCATGTTTATTGTGCTTGAGGTTCATTGGAATGTTTGAATCTGTGAGTTTGTAAATTTTATGAAGTTTGAAAACGTTTCAGCTGGCATTTCTTCAAATAATTTCTGCACCCGTCCTTTGGGGACTTTCCATTACATGCATGTTAGCCTGCTTGGAGTGGTCCCGCGGCTCACCGATGCTTTGTTCATTTGTATTTGATGGGATTTTTCTTTTAGTCTTTTTTCTCTCTGTGTTTCTTTTTCTTTTTTTTTTAATTCTCTCTTGAGACGGAGTCTTACTCTGTTGCCCAGAGTCTAGAGTGCAGTGGGGCAATCTCGTCTCACTGCAAGCTCTGCCTCCCAGGTTCACACCATTCTCCTGCCTCAGCCTCCTGAGTAACTGGGATGACAGGTGCCCGCCACCACGCCTGGCTAAGTTTTTGTATTTTTAGTAGAGACGGGGTTTCACCATTTTGACCAGGACTGTTTCCATCTTTTGACCTCATGATCGACCCACCTCGGCCTCCCAAAGTGCTGAGATTACAGGCGTGAGCCACCATGCCCAGCCTTTTTTTTTTTTTTTTTTTTTGAGACAGAGTCTCGCTCTGTCGCCCAGGCTGGAGTGCAATGGTACAATCTCAGCTTACTGCAACCTCCACCTCCTGGGTTCAAGCGATTCTCCTGCCTCAGCCTCCCAAGTAGCTGAGATTACAGGCCTGTGCCACTACACCCGGCTAATTTTCTTTTTTGTACTCTTTTGGTAGAGATGGGATTTCATGGGTAGAGATTGAGATTGGTCAGACTGATCTCAAACTCCTGACCTTATGATCCACCTACCTTGGCCTCCCAAAGTGCTGGGATTACAGGCATGAGCCACCACACCCGGCCTTTCTCTCTGTGTTTCATTTGGATAGTTAGTTCTCCAATCTGCCATCAAATTCATCTAGTGTGATTTTTGTCTCAGACACTGTAGTTCTTATTTCTAGAAGTCCTTGGGTGTTTTAAGAATATTTTCCTTGTCTCTTTTTAACGTAAGTATCCTTTCTTTTAACGTCTTGGACATAAAAAATACAATTATAATAGCTGTTTTAATATCCTATGTGCAAATTCTTTCTTTTTATCATTTGTGAGTCTGCTTCTATAGATTGATTTTTCTCCTCACGATGGATCATATTTTTGTGCTTCTTTGAATTCCTGTTTATTTCTGATTGGATGCCAGGCATTGTTACTTTTACCTTGCTGGGTGCTGGATACTGTTGTATTCATTTAACCATTCTTAACATTTGTTCTGGGAGGCAGTTATGTTTGGCGCTTCTGTGTATTCCTTTTTTTTTCTTTTTTTCTATTTGTATTTTCTTTTTTCCCTCATCTTCTTGGTGATGGCATGGGTCTCGCTTTCAAGCCTTGTCAGGCAGAATAAAAGCAGCATCTAGTCTAGAGCTAATCTTTCTTCTATTAAGGCAAAACCTTTCTGGGTAGTCTGCTCAATACCTCACGAATTGTGCGGTGCTTCCCCTCTGGTGGTGCGTGAGCTCTGAAGATTGTTCCCGTATCTCCTTTTGGGACGTTCCTTCCCAGTTTGGGGTGGTTTCCTCCATTGCCTGCACTGATCACACCTGGAAGTTTGAAGGGAACTTCTCCAGGTCTCTGGGATTCTCAATCCCCGTGCTCTCCTCCTTGGTACCTTGCCCTGCCAACCCCAGCTGTCTTTATTTTTCACTTTTTTATTTTTTGAGACAGAGTCTCACTCTGTCGCCCAGGCTGGAGTGCAGTGGTGTGATCGTGGCTCACTGCAACCTCCACCCCCGCCGGGTTCAAGCGATTCTCCTG